CCTATTTCGGAACAAAGCCTCCTTCACTCATGCTGCCAAACATGCCCTCGTAAAACTGACTATCCTACCGATCCTTGACTTCGGCGATGTCATTTACAAAATAGCCTCCAACACTCTACTCAGCAAATTGGATGTAGTCTATCACAGTGCCATCCATTTTGTCACCAAAGCCCCATATACTACCCACCACTGTGACCTGTACGCTCTTGTTGGCTGGTCCTCACTACATATTAGTCGCCAAACCCACTGGCTCCAGGCCATCTATAAATCACTGCTAGGCAAATCCCCGCCTTATCTTAGCTCATTGGTCACCATAGCAACACCCACCCGTAGTATGCGCTCCAGCAGGTATATCTCACTGGTCATCCCCAAAGCCAACACCTCCTTTGGCTGCCATTCCTTCCAGTTCTCTGCTGCCAATGACTGGAACGAACTGCAAAGATCTCTGAAGCTGGAGACTCTTATCTCCCTCACTAACTTTAAGCATCAGTTGTCAGAGCACCTTACCGATCACTGCTCCTATACACAGCCCTTTCTCTCTTATCTCTCTCTCTCTCTCTCTTCACTTTCTCTCTCTCTCTTCACTCTCTCGCTCTCTCTCTCTTCACTCTCTCGCTCTCCATTTTCTTCCTCCCCTTTGCATTTAACTATTCATCACCTCTCTCTTTCTTCACATTGTTTTAATTAGTTGAAGACTGAAGGGTCCCTTTTGTGAGGGCAGATGTATACTGAACAGAAATATAAACTCAACATGTAAATTGTTGGTCCCATGTTTCATGAGCTGAAATAAAAGATCCCAGACAGTGTTCATATGTACAAAAAGCTTATTTCTCTCAAATTTTGTGCACACATTTCTTTACATCCCTGTTAGTATTTCTCCTTTCCCAAGATAATCCATCCACCTGGCAGGTGTGGCATATCAAGAAGCTGATTAAACAGCATGATCATTACACAGGTGCACCTTGTGCTGGGGACAAAGGGCCACTTTTGTGCAGTTTTGTGCAGTTTTGTGCCAATGTGCAGTTTTGTCTCACAACACAATGCCACAGATGTCTCAAGTTTTGAGGGAGCGTGCAATTGGCATGCTGACTGCAGGAATGTCCACCAGAACTGTTGGCAGAGAATTGAACGTTCATTTCTCTATCATAAGCTGCCTCCAATGTTGTTTTAGAGAATTTGGCAGTGCGTCCAACCGGCCTCACAACCGCAGACCACGTGTAACCACGCCAGCTTCTTTACCAGCAGGATTGTCTGAGACCAGACACCCAGACAGCTGATGAAACTGAGGAGGATTTCTGTCTGTAATAAAGCCCTTTTGTGGGGAAGAACTCATTCTGATTGGCTGGGCTTGGCTTCCAAGTGGGTGGGCCTATGCGCCCCTTCCAAGTAATGTGAAATCCATAAATTAGGGCCTAATGAATTTATTTCAATTGACTGATTTCCTTATATGAACTGTAACTCAGTAAATCCTTTGAAATTGTTGCATGTTGTGTTTATGTTTTTGTTCAGTATATATATTCATGAGGTTTTTCTTCCTGTAATAATTGTAGGATAATCTTGTGTTTTTAAGTATGATATTTGTATATATTATACAGAGTTATCTTACTGTTTTAATCTTCTCTCTGTGAAGCTCAAAACACTCCTCTTCTTCAGTCTTTACAATATAATAGGTGTTGTATCTCCATCTAGTGGACAGTTACAGTCTTGACCATAATCGTACCTCTTGGTTACCATCTAGTGGACAGTTACAGTATTGACCATAATCTTACCTCCGTTGGTTACAATCTAGTGGACATGTACAGTATTGACCATAGTTTTACCTCTGTTGGTTACATGGTGAATCTACTTTTAATCTTGTAATGTCTGGCTTACTTTGGGTGCAAATTAAATTTATATAAAGACCCAATAGCAATTAATGTTTTTTTTGTACTTGTTGCTCCAAATGAACTCTCAGTGGGGAGGTTCTAAAGAGACCATAAAGCATTCTGCCTAGGGGGACATAAAGCTCCAATAAAGCATTCTGCCTCTCAATAAGGTTGACTTCAATCACAAATAGTTCACGATTCATTAAATCAAGTAAAACACGCATACCCTTTCCAAAACGAACAAACACAAACCATACAGAGTGAGACACACTGGTTGCCAAGCCTGGAGCACATGAGAATAATTTGTGGTGGTGTTTGGTGTTCTGAATCTGCACACTGTGTTCACACGATGTTAGTGCAGTCACTGCTCTCCTGAGGGTGGTTTAGTAACGCCTGTGTTACTGTAACAATAACAATGCAGGGAGGCCTTTCTCATAATTTCATGTAGACCTACATTGCTACTCCATGGATTCCCATAGCTGTAGACAAACACCTACTTTACCAATGTCCTGACTTGAACATTATCACTGGTCACTTAACTTGAAAGTGTGATGAACAAACAGCACTATCGGTCTCTGTGTACTGTATGTATGCACTGGAGTGTGAACCTGGAGTCCAGGTCCACACTTCATTCTAGAACTAGAACGGTGAGGGGGAAGGAGCCCAGCCTCTCTGAGACTCCACTGTGACCGTCTGTCTGTCTGTTTGTCTGTCTGTGGCAGGAGAGTAAGGAGCAGAGCAGGGTCTAGGAGCCAAATGGGTGAAAGAGCAGCTTTCTGACAACAACCCCAGCATGGTCACTAGAATGAGGACATGGAAAGAGTCAGCTTCTGCTCCATGGCTTTAGTTTGATTCCTACACCTCCTCTTCAGTCCTGAAGGATAGCCAGGATTGTTAAGTTTGATTCCTACACCTCCTCTTCAGTCCTGAAGTCTAGCAGGGGTCTTTAGTTTGATTCCTACACCTCCTCTTCAGTCCTGAAGTCTAGCATGGGTCTTTAGTTTGATTCCTACACCTCCTCTTCAGTCCTGAAGTCTAGCAGGGATCTTTAGTTTGATTCCTACACCTCCTCTTCAGTCCTGAAGTCTAGCATGGGTCTTTAGTTTGATTCCTACACCTCCTCTTCAGTCCTGAAGTCTAGCAGGGGTCTTTAGTTTGATTCCTACACCTCCTCTTCAGTCCTGAAGTCTAGCATGGGTCTTTAGTTTGATTCCTACACCTCCTCTTCAGTCCTGAAGTCTAGCAGGGATCTTTAGTTTGATTCCTACACCTCTTCAGTCCTGAAGTCTAGCAGGGATCTTTAGTTTTGATTCCTACACCTCCTCTTCAGTCCTGAAGTCTAGCAGGGGTCTTTAGTTTGATTCCTACACCTCCTCTTCAGTCCTGAAGTCTAGCATGGGTCTTTAGTTTGATTCCTACACCTCCTCTTCAGTCCTGAAGTCTAGCAGGGATCTTTAGTTTGATTCCTACACTCCTCTTCAGTCCTGAAGTCTAGCATGGGTCTTTAGTTTGATTCCTACACCTCCTCTTCAGTCCTGAAGTCTAGCAGGGGTCTTTAGTTTGATTCCTACACCTCCTCTTCAGTCCTGAAGTCTAGCATGGGTCTTTAGTTTGATTCCTACACCTCCTCTTCAGTCCTGAAGTCTAGCAGGGATCTTTAGTTTGATTCCTACACCTCTTCAGTCCTGAAGTCTAGCAGGGATCTTTAGTTTGATTCCTACACCTCCTCTTCAGTCCTGAAGTCTAGCAGGGGTCTTTAGTTTGATTCCTACACCTCCTCTTCAGTCCTGAAGTCTAGCATGGGTCTTTAGTTTGATTCCTACACCTCTTCAGTCCTGAAGTCTAGCAGGGGTCTTTAGTTTGATTCCTACACCTCCTCTTCAGTCCTGAAGTCTAGCAGGGGTCTTTAGTTTGATTCCTACACCTCCTCTTCAGTCCTTAAGTCGAGCAGGTGTCTAGGGAAAACACTCACATTCTTTTTCATATTCAAACAAATTTGTGTTTGTGTTTTTCAGAGGTAAATATGTACAGTAATCTGGCATGCCATAGTAAACAATGATAGGCTACAAAATGTGTCTGCTCAGTGACAAGATTCTATTGGGTTCTCCATTTTGTTCATGTAATGTTTAAATTTACTTTCTGGATGTCAATGTAATTTACAGACACTGTCTAACAAAAAGCGTGAAAAAAGTTTGTTGTACCAAATCAGGGTATCTTAAAACCAAAAACGGTTTGTTATTTTAAAGATGGTAGAGCGTGCCCTCAGAGTTGGCCTTCATTTCCCCAGAGAACCATCCTCCTTCCATACATTGAAACAACGGTTTATTTTCTATATGGGAGAAGTTTACATTCCTATGAGGGAGAGCTGGATAAGATTGCATCATTCAATTAAGATGAAATAAAGACAGTGTAAATAAAGAGTGTCTGAGAGCCCATCTCCTGCTCTCTGTAGATATCTGTCTGAATTACATAGACTGTGGGGTCATTATGTATGGACCAGGCATTCATTCAAACCTGTGTTGTGTAAGTGTTTTCAAATCAGGACTATATTAATAGAACTGAATCTCATACACACACCTCTCTCTCTTCTCTCTCTTTCTCTCTCTCTCTCTCTCTCTCTCTCTCGCAAACACACACACAACCCCATACTCTCACTCACATTCCATTCGATCAGTCCCAGTATGGGAGGCACAGAGCCTGCCCAGAGTTGGACGTCCGTCCCCCCCCCCCCCCCCCCCCCATCTATGCTCACAGACAGACAGGCAGAAAGGAGGAACAGCACTGCACTCCATACAGCCAGCCATGCAGAGGAGGATACAACACCGATCATTCCACTGACTGACTCTGTAGTCTACATCACACAACTGTGTAGTGTGGTCCCTGGCTTGGATCTGGACCAGCTACAACAACTAACAAGACAACTGGTGGTGGATAGGGATGGGTTCCAAACTGAGACTTGAGAGGACTTCTCATTCAGTCCTACTGATGGGAAGCGGTCATCTTTCTGGATTGATGGTCTGCCTCCCAACCGTCTGATTGACGACAGGACAGGAAGACATGTTGTGAAGAGAGACAGAAGACAGACAGTCTAGTTGGAAGACATAAAGGAGGATCATCAGCCTGTGTGTCCTGCAGCCATGCTGTGGTACCTCCTGCCCTGCCAGCCCAGCTGCCACATTACCTGGCTGGTTCTGGCTGCCCTTCTCCTGCTGCTGACGGGCTGTGTGTCTGTGTCTCTGGAAGAGCTGCCCAAAGGCTCAGGGGACATAGCTGGCAGCGGCTCCATGAGCGCCAGCACTAACACTAACGCTCGCCAGTACAACTCTATCCAGCACGGATCCTGCACCTATACCTTCCTGTTGCCAGAGAACGCTGGGGGGAACAGGCCGTGCTGGACGGAGGGGGAGGGGGTCGGCGGCTCCAGCACCAGCCAGGGACAGGGCCAGTACCAGGGGAACACTCTACAAGGAGATGCCCCACTGATAAAGCCCAACATCCCAGGACCGGCCCCGGCTCTGGGCAGCCAGAGGATCCAACACCTGGAGCACGTCATGGACAACTACACACAGTGGCTTCAGAAGGTCAGAGCATGTTCTCTATGCATCCAGTATAGTAGTAGTTGATGTAAAGAATAAAACCTGACGTTTCAGTCTAAACAGAGCTTTATCAACCATGGCTGTGCAGGTCAAAATGATCTGCTTTTTTATCAGATTGAACTATGTGCTATTGCATTTATAACACATTAGCCAAAGTTGTTATCAAAACAAATCTAAGAAGCGGTAGTTCGGTTCTATGTACGCTATTTCTATGCTTCCCGTTCTTGAGTTTAGTTTTTTGTGTCGTCTGTTTTGTACACCAGTTTCAAACAGTTGAAAATACAATGTTTTTTCGGTTCTGGAAAACATATTTCACAGTAGTTTAGATGGTACAATTATTCTCTACACTATCCTTGCTTATTTTGTCACAAAAACTGAAATTAGGCAAACTATTAGAATTTTTGCAACCAGGAAATGCCGGAGCGATTTCTGCATAGTGCATCTTTAAGTGCACTATATCAGCATTGAGTGTGTTTCAACCCCATGAACCATTTGGACCAAGCCAAATGTGTCCTGCCATAATGAATATTATTATTATAGGAAACATTTGGCTCTGTCCAACCTGGATCCATCTCTTTCCTCTATGTCTGTTTATTTGGTCGTTAGGTTGTGATGTTCTGAGTGTGTCCGGCTGGCGTGGCTGTCCTTAAGAAAACACTGTGTTGTCTGTCTGAACCTTCTCACACTGGGTCACATTGGCCCCATCTGGGGGTGGGGGGTCAATTTCTAGGAATGGGCTCAGCTTTAGGCAGTGCTCAGTCTGTCTGTCTGTCTCTTTCTGTCTGTCTGTCTGTCTACCACTTCAGTATTAACAGACTACCACTTCAGTAGAAACAGTCTACCACTTCAGTAGAAACAGACTACCACTTCAGTATTAACAGACTACCACTTCAGTAGAAACAGACTACCACTCCAGTATTAACAGATTACAACTTCAGTATTAACAGACTACCACTTCAGTAGAAACAGACTACCACTTCAGTAGAAACAGACTACCACTTCAGTAGAAACAGACTACCACTTCAGTAAAAACAGACTACCACTTCAGTATAAACAGACTACCACTTCAGTAGAAACAGACTACCACTTCAGTAGAAACAGACTACCACTTCAGTAAAAACAGACTACCACTTCAGTATTAACAGACTACAACTTCAGTATTAACAGACTACCACTTCAGTAAAAACAGACTACCACTTCAGTAAAAACAGACTACCACTTCAGTATTAACAGACTACCACTTCAGTAGAAACAGACTACCACTTCAGTAGAAACAGACTACTACTTCAGTAAAACAGACTACCACTTCAGTAGAAACAGACTACCACTTCAGTACAAACAGACAACCACTTCAGTATTAACAGACTACCACTTCAGTAGAAACAGACTACCACTTCAGTAGAAACAGACTACCACTTCAGTAGAAACAGACTACCACTTCAGTATTAACAGACCACCACTTCAGTAGAAACAGACTACCACTTCAGTAGAAACAGACTACCACTTCAGTATTAACAGACCACCACTTCAGTAAAAACAGACTACCACTTCAGTAGAAACAGACTACCACTTCAGTAGAAACAGACTACCACTTCAGTATTAACAGACCACCACTTCAGTAGAAACAGACTACCACTTCAGTAGAAACAGACTACCACTTCAGTATAAACAGACTACCACTTCAGTATTAACATACTACCACTTCAGTATTAACATACTACCACTTCATTATTAACAGACTACCACTTCAGTAGAAACAGACTACCACTTCAGTAAAAACAGACTACCACTTCCGTAGAAACAGACTACCACTGCAGTAGAAACAGACTACTACTTCAGTATTAACAGACTACAACTTCAGTATTAACAGACTACCACTTCAGTAGAAACAGACTACCACTTCATTATTAACAGACTACCACTTCCGTAGAAACAGACTACCACTGCAGTAGGAACAGACTACAACTTCAGTATTAACATACTACCACTTCAGTAGAAACAGTCTACCACTTCAGTATTAACAGACTACCACTTCAGTATAAACAGACTACAACTTCAGTATAAACAGACTACCACTTCAGTAAAAACAGACTACCACTTCAGTAGAAAGACTACCACTTCAGTAGAAACAGACTACCACTTCAGTAGAAACAGACTACCACTTCAGTAGAAACAGTCTACCACTTCAGTATTAACAGACTACCACTGCAGTATTAACAGACTACCACTTCAGTATTAACAGACTACCACTTCAGTAAAAACAGACTACCACTTCAGTAGAAACAGACTACCACTTCAGTAGAAACAGACTACCACTTCAGTAGAAACAGTCTACCACTTCAGTATTAACAGACTACCACTTCAGTATTAACAGACTACCACTTCAGTATTAACAGACTACCACTTCAGTAAAAACAGACTACCACTTCAGTAGAAACAGACTACCACTTCAGTAGAAACAGACTACCACTTCAGTAGAAACAGACTACCACTTCAGTATTAACAGACTACCACTTCAGTAGAAACAGACTACTACTTCAGTATTAACAGACTACTACTTCAGTATTAACAGACTACCACTTCAGTATAAACAGACTACAACTTCAGTATTAACAGACTACCACTTCAGTAAAAACAGACTACCACTTCAGTAGAAACAGTCTACCACTTCAGTATTAACAGACTACCACTTCAGTATTAACAGACTACCACTTCAGTATTAACAGACTACCACTTCAGTAAAAACAGACTACCACTTCAGTAGAAACAGACTACCACTTCAGTAGAAACAGACTACCACTTCAGTAGAAACAGACTACCACTTCAGTATTAACAGACTACCACTTCAGTAGAAACAGACTACTACTTCAGTATTAACAGACTACTACTTCAGTATTAACAGACTACCACTTCAGTATAAACAGACTACAACTTCAGGATTAACAGACTACCACTTCAGTAAAAACAGACTACCACTTCAGTATTAACAGACTACCACTTCAGTATAAACAGACTACCACTTCAGTAGTTTGGCACCAATTTGTTCCACAATGGTTTGGAAGAGTGTTTATGATATATGAACTTAACTTAACATAGATGCTAATGAATAAGTTGGCAAGTGTTGTAGATAGCCGTCATACTTTGAATGCATGAATTGGACACAGGAATTGTTTCATCAAAAACAATAAACATTGACATATAATAGCTCATGCCCACATGTTAATGGACCTCTATATAAACTCCAGATTTCACATAATAAGTGCCAAGATAATAAAATCTTAGAAGGGTTGACTGTGTGAAAACATTCTGTATGCTGCATACATTGCCAACCAACAAAATTATACATGAAGACTTTCCTCAAACTTCATTCTGGTTATCGTGTGTAAACCACTCAGGACTTTTCTCTCAGCATCATGGCAAAATGTGTAGATTAGCAGGAAATTAGCTTAAAAAATGTGAAATATTCTGTCAGCCTCATGACAAAATGTGAATAATAGCATGAGATGAGCTATAAAACAGCACATCTTTCTCTCCACCCCATGGAAAAATGTGTAGAATTGCAGGGAAATTAGCTTTAAAACTGCAACATTTTCTCTTAGCTTCATGACAAAATGTGTAGAATAGTATTATAAAACTGCAAAATAAGCTTAAAGACCCAACCACATATACCTCCCGAGTGGTGCAGTGGTCTAAGGCACTGCATCGCAGTGCTAGCTGTGCCACTAGAGATCCTGGTTAGAATCCAGGCTCTGTCGTAGCCGGCCATGACCGGGAGACCCATGGGGCGGCGCACAATTGGCCCAGCGTCGTCCAGGGTAGGGGAGGGAATAGCCGGCAGGGATGTAGCTCAGTTGGTAGAGCATGGCGTTTGCAACGCCAGGATTGTGGGTTTGTTTCCCACGGGGGTTATAAAAAAATATATATAATGTATGCACTCACTAACTGTAAGTCGCTCTGGATAAGAGCGTCTGCTAAATGACTTAAATGTAAATGTAAAATGTAATGTCATAGAGACCAGGCCAGAGGGAATCTAGCCACACAGTAGACGTTCTCAAATTGAAAATCATACTTAGGGTGATCTGTTACGTTAAATCAGGGATGAAGTGAGACATGAATCTAGCTTTGCGATGTAAATTTTTCATATGCCATTGTTGTGACTATCTAACTGTAACGGTAATTTCCAAACTGTACATTTTTGGAACTACATAGTTTGAAAAGCTGTCCAAGGCTAAACTCAAACTGATTGATATGAACTGAAAAGGCCATGGCTTGAAAACCGGGGTAACAGGAAAACTATCAACTTCAATGAATCACTGAATGACCCTGAGCTGTCACAAAAAAAACCGACATATTTTTAAAGCATATTGCTGGGAAAGACCTCTCCTCTCCTCATTGTAATCATCATCAGGATAGTGAACTTGAGATGGATAATGTCATTGGCAGCTGAGCCCTGTCCACATGATGTATCTGTGGTAGAAAACATACAGATGCAGTCCCATGACTGATCTCTCCTGGTTGACTAAAGGGAAATGACTGAACTCAACAACCCTGAAAGATCCCTCCCTAAGTAGCTGACCAGGGGCCAAGGAAATCCTTAGACAGGACCATATTGATGCAGTAAATCCTTAAATCCAAAATTACTGAAGGGAATGAATACATATCCAACTTATTTTCTTCCCTGGATATAATTTCATTATTTCTGGTTGGTTCCTTGGAAGTTGTGGGAACGTATGTTTTGGTTTCACATTGGTTGTGGGAACGAAGCCATACGTTTCCTGACCGGTAAAATATAACGTTTTCAAACGTTCTGAGAACAGAAGATTTTGTCTCTATTCTGGGAACTTTTATTTTTAGGTTGCAGAGAGGTTCTGAGAATGTTTTACTCTGGTTCCTTCAAAGTTTTACTGGGAGGTTTTATTAATGCTCTGAGAACAGAAACTATAGGTTATTTAATAACTTCCTGAAAACATTCACTATGTTTCAATAAGACTGCTAGCTTATTTTGGGTTGACTTTTTGAACTTCAAGCACAAATAGACCAGTTGGTTGTTCAGCAACAAAACCAACGCATGTGCAACTACAGTGGGGAAAAAAAAGTATTTAGTCAGCCACCAATTGTGCAAGTTCTCCCACTTAAAAAGATGAGAGAGGCCTGTCATTTTCATCATAGATACACGTCAACTATGACAGACAAAATGAGGGGAAAAAATCCAGAAAATCACATTGTAGGATTTTTTATGAATTTATTTGCAAATTATGGTGGAAAATAAGTATTTGGTCAATAAAAAAAGTTTCTCAATACTTTGTTATATACCCTTTGTTGGCAATGACACAGGTCAAACGTTTTCTGTAAGTCTTCACACACTGTTGCTGGTATTTTGGCCCATTCCTCCATGCAGATCTCCTCTAGAGCAGTGATGTTTTGGGGCTGTCGCTGGGCAACACGGACTTTCAACTCCCTCCAAAGATTTTCTATGGGGTTGAGATCTGGAGACTGGCTAGGCCACTCCAGGACCTTGAAATGCTTATTACGAAGCCACTCCTTCGTTGCCCGGGCGGTGTGTTTGGGATCATTGTCATGATGAAAGACCCAGCCACGTTTCATCTTCAATGCCCTTGCTGATGGAAGGAGGTTTTCACTCAAAATCTCACGATACATGGCCCCATTCATTCTTTCCTTTACACGGATCAGTCGTCCTGGTCCATTTGCAGATAAACAGCCCCAAAGCATGATGTTTCCACCCCCATGCTTCACAGTAGGTATGGTGTTCTTTGGATGCAACTCAGCATTCTTTGTCCTCCAAACACGACGAGTTGAGTTTTTACCAAAAAGTTATATTTTGGTTTCATCTGACCATATGACATTCTCCCAATCCTCTTCTGGATCATCCAAATGCACTCTAGCAAACTTCAGACGGGCCTGGACATGTACTGGCTTAAGCAGGGGGACACGTCTGGCACTGCAGGATTTGAGTCCCTGGCGGCGTAGTGTGTTACTGATGGTAGGCTTTGTTACTTTGGTCCCAGCTCTCTGCAGGTCATTCACTAGGTCCCCCCGTGTGGTTCGGGATTTTTGCTCACCGTACTTGTGATCATTTTGACCCCACGGGGTGAGATCTTGCGTGGAGCCCCAGATCGAGGGAGATTATCAGTGGTCTTGTATGTCTTCCATTTCCTAATAATTGCTCCCACAGTTAATTTCTTCAAACCAAGCTGCTTACCTATTGCAGATTCAGTCTTCCCAGCCTGGTGCAGGTCTACAATTTTGTTTCTGGTGTCCTTTGACAGCTCTTTGGTCTTGGCCATAGTGGAGTTTGGAGTGTGACTGTTTGAGGTTGTGGACAGGTGTCTTTTATTCTGATAACAAGTTCAAACAGGTGCCATTAATACAGGTAACAAGTGGAGGACAGAGGAGCCTCTTAAAGAAGAAGTTACAGGTCTGTGAGAGCCAGAAATCTTGCTTGTTTGTAGGTGACCAAATACTTACTTTCCACCATAATTTGCAAATAAATTCATAAAAAATCCTACAATGTGATTTTCTGGATTTCTTTTTCTCAATTTGTCTGTCATAGTTGATGTGTACCTATGATGAAAATTACAGGCCTCTCTCATCTTTTTAAGTGGGAGAACTTGCACAATTGGTGGCTGACTAAATACTTTTTTTCCCCACTGTATGGGGCAAAACAGACAGGGTTGGCCTTGATTGTTGACAACATGTAAAATATATTTTGTCTTCAAAATAAATACATTTTCACAATCAGCACTTGTCTCTCAAATAAATCGTTACAGTTGTTGGTTAGCTAGCTAGTGAATTTTAGCCATATAAGCATTGACATGAAATCAGTCAAAACACAACATGGTTTCAAGAACAAGATAGAACCAGCTGAAAATAGCCACCTACGATTCCCCATATGGCAGATTCTTGTCATTGTTGCTTGCTATCTGACGGTTCAGAATCATAATAAAGCACAGCTTCCGGCGCCATTGATGCACATGCTTCATTTTCATGACATTGCAAGCCAACCCATCTATAGGACACTAATCCTATAAATGCGTTTGCATTAATCATGCAAACACATTTATTTTTTATTGTGACACAGCATCAGTGAGATTTGAACCTATAATCTTCTGTTGTTCATCCATGGAATTAGTCCACTGCGCCACCAGTATGGAGCTAGCATGCCATGTTTTTTTACGCTTTCACAGCTGTTCATTTTAGTCTATTCAAACAGACCCATTTCAAAGGAAACAAGCACTCATTAAGATCACACACTTAACAAGACAGAGGATAGAGAGAGTTTTGTTGATGCTGAGAACGGAATGTATATGTTTTTAAATAACTTTCTTAAAATGTTCTCTGAATGTTACTGAAGTTTTCTTATGGTTTTTATGGAACGTTTTCTTAACGTTCTGAGAACAGGTTGTATGTTTTTAAATAACATTCTTAGAATGTTCTCTGAACATTACTAACGTTTTCTTGTGGTTTTTATGGAAAGTTTTCTTAACGTTCTTGGAACAATTTGAGAACATTACTTTAAGTAGAACCATGAGGAAACCTGTAGGAAACCATATGCTGAAGTGCTGAAATTCCCACAGAAGAACTTTGTTTCTTAACGTTCTCTGAACTATTTGAGAACATTCTCAATGTCAAGTCAGTTGGAAAGTGTTCCTAGAACATTACCAAAATTGAAATTAAATGTAACCATGTTTGAACTTTTCTCACAGCCAATGAAGTGGAGTGTACAGAACACCTGGAGTCTGGCGAGAGAGGTAAAGCCCTAAACATCTCTTCATACCTCCTCTGTGTTTGTGTTTCAGATTGAGAGCTATGTGAAGGACAGTCTGAAGGTGCAGATGGCTCAGCTGCAGCAAAGTGCTGTCCACAACCACACAGCCGCCATCTTGGATCTAGGCACCAACCTCCTGACCCAGACTGCCCAGCACACACGGAAACTGACAGATGTAGAGACCCAGGTGCAGTATGAATCATATACAAATATCCCTCTCCAAAGAACATTAAAGTGCATGTTATGATATCAGTAACACTTACTACTTAATCATGTAGCCTACACAGCAATTATCCTTATTTCATTGGATGAATAGGCCTATGAAGTCCATTAAAATACATGTTAACACTTTTAGCCTATATAAATCATGTCTATACACTTGACTGGGTGAATTTGAATGATAGTAACAGTTTCCTGATGGACAGGTGTTGAATCAGACCTCGAGGCTGGAGATTCAGCTCCTGGAGAACTCTCTGTCCACCAACAAACTGGAGACCCAGCTCCTCCACCAATCTACAGAGATCAGCAAACTGCACGACAAGAATTGGTAAAATCAACATGGATTATTTTCTTCCCAGTTCTGTCTTGATTTATTGGCCGACTGACTGACTGACTGACTGACTGTTTGATTGATTGATTGACTGATTGACTGACTGACTGATCGACTGATCGACTGATCAACTGATTGTCAAATCACTTGTATTGATCAGGCTCTTGGAGCAGAAGATGCAGGAGCTGGAGTCTGGGCACCATGAGGAGCTGGCTACCTTACAGAAGGAGAGGTCCAGCCTGCAGCAGCTGGTAGCCAGACAGAGCAGTGTGATCACAGAGCTACACACCCATCTGGACCAGGCCACTGGCAACAACAGTATCCTGCTTAGTCAACAACAGCAGCTCACTGACACCGTCAACAGTCTGATGAAACTCTGCTCTAAGGACAGAGGGTCTGGAGGTACTGGATGGATGCTGGGGCCAATGTTTCCTGTTACAGAAAGTAGAAATAAAATACTCTGGGGTATGAATATCATAGCATAGATAGGAATGATTTCCGGGAAGAGGGAGTTGGCTTTAAAAGCTCTAGGTAGGGTTAAATACAACAGAGGTACTGGAGGATATATTGTGGCAAATGTTCACAGGTTCAGACAAGGTATTCTCTGGGCACAGATAAAGCCTATACCTGGACTAAGAAGGCTGGACTAACCCAGTGAGCACCGGCCGACATCCATGGACGTTAAAAAGAGGTTGAAACTTGGTCCGGAGCGGCCTTGATTTCAATGTCCACAGACGTCCAGACCGGACTTGATTCGGCCCAAACACAGATGTCTAAGTTTGATTCAAATTTAGTCTGGACAGGCCTTGATTTGGCCCCAAAAAACCTGTCTATGATTCATTCAGATTTGGTCCTACAGCATACTACAGCACAGTACAGTAGAGCACAGCAGAGTACAGTACAGTTAAGTATAGTAATGAAAAGTAGAGTATAGTTCAGTACAGTAGAGTACAAAATGGCACTGCACTCTACTGTGCTCTACACTGTACTGTACTGTACTGTACTGTACTGTACTGTACTGTGCTGTCCTAACCTGTGAAACATAGACGTCTATGATTGGTTCAGATTTGGTCTGATCCGGACCGACTAAATTTGGTTTTGTTTGGGGGTGGAGCTCATTAGAATAACACCCAGTATACTTTGCCAGTGTTCATTTTTACATTTACATTTTTGTCATTTAGCAGACACTCTTATCCAGAACTGAAGGATATATTGTGCCGAATTTGTATAGCTTTGTCTAAAAGACGTCTATTCAACTTTCATTCACAACCCGAAAATGAACCTGATTTCAACGTCTGGAAAATACGTATTTTAGACATCTTTTCAAGTAATTTAGCTCACTGGGAAGTAACATAGGCTTAATCTGTGACCGGGAAAGGCCTGGATCATAAATACCATAGCACAGATAGGAATGATTTAGGCTTGGAGGGGGGTGACCTTAAATGCTCAGGCTAGGGTTAAATAGAACTTACTGTATGAACTGGAGACTGAAGAGTTTATAATAACTTGGTGGGTGCTTATATTTGTCCTATTTCACACATGTACAAGTGTGAATTAATTTAATATCCATTTGTGAATTGTAAATGTGTTTTTTTGCATATCCCAACACTCCCTGAGACGCCCTCGGAGAGTGGGGTCATGGCCAGGGTCTGTCATTATCAACGGAGACCCTGGCGTAATTAAGGTTGAGTGCCTTGCTCGAGTACATCAAATTATTTTTCACCTTGTCAGCTAGTGGATTGAAACGAGCAACCTTTTGGTTACTGACCCAACGCTCTAACTGCTAAGCTACCTGTCACCCAGAGGGAGTTCTGCTGAACATCACCAGAAGTGTTTCATTCAGGGCCCAGACTGGCTTCAAGAGCCTCTTCAGACTAGAAACAGCTACTTGTCTAGTGTTCTAAGAACATAAGAAGATGCATTCCAGAACATAAGAACCTGTTCTAATAGGAACTGACCCAGTCTGGGCTGTTGATTACAAAGGATTTAGGATGCATTCAAATTGGAGCCTAGTTTATAATGTGTTTGCTCTTGTTTCATTATCTATTCAAGCAGTGGTCCCAAACAGCAACCTTGCCTTTAAGCAGAGAGATTCATCTCATGAGGAGAGAAAGTATCGGGACTGCTCTGAAATCTTTCAAGCTGGCTTCAACAACAGTGGAGTATATACTATTCACATCAACACACAGGAGACTAAAAGGGTAAGGAAAACTATATTATCTTTAGTAAATATTAGAGGGGGAAAAAAATATGTAAATTCAATTAGCATAATTTGTATTATAGAGGCATACATTACAGATGATATATGCAGGCTTTGCCTCTGCATGCAAAACAGCAAAAACTGACATGAAAAATTCAAGGGCTGCACTTTTTCTTACTGTAACCTACTTTAGTTTACGTGCAAGTGAAGTGGCAGCAATTAATATACGGTACTCTAAAGCCGCTTGCCAAAAGATTCGACAACAATATCCCAGGAATATGTCAGGTATTGGCTGGCTGATATGCTGGGTCTGGAAATACTCTTGGCTGGCCTCTTCACCGCAGCTACATGGCAGATGTCCTCCTCCTGCCAAGCCGCAGATGGCTGACTGGCAGTGTGTTACTGTCCATTATCAGCTGTCAGTGTCAATGGGACCTCCATGGTTGCACTGAGCTACGTCCCTGGGCTTAGGACACATTGTCATTATGGCCTGAACATGGTACACAAAACTAAGGACACTCATCTATAGTACATTTTTGTCATTTAGTAGACGCACTTATCCAGAACGATTTACAGGAGCAATTATGTTTAAATGCCTTGCTCAAGGGCACATCGACAGATGTTTCACCTTGTCTGCTCAGGGATTCGAACCAGCGACATTTCGGTTATTGGCCCAACGCTTCCGGTTACTGGCCCAACGCTCTTAACCGCTAAGCTTCTTTTACAGGAAACAGTCGTTATTGTCATGATATGCACTGCATGTGTGAGAGTAGTGTGTAAGCTACCCATGTCACTGACTTTCTGTCTCTCTCTCTGTAGGTTTACTGTAACATGGAGGCAGCAGGAGGAGGATGGTCCGTCATTCAGAGGAGAAAAGACGGGACCATGGACTTCCAGAGAACGTGGAAGGAGTACAAGATGGTGAGGAGGCCAGGGTGGAATATTCTCACAGCATTCACACTCACATCTTTTCTGATTTTGGTGAATACATAGCACTAGGGATTAACATGGGTAATCGGGATCCCGGGATTGTCCCTGGAACACTCTTCACGTTTACCGGAAAAAATAAACGACAAGACCCGGGAAATTACAACATTTATCCACAATGTCTGCACTAATGAAATTCCACAGCAAAAGATTAACAAAAATTAAAATGCAACATTATCCAAACAGGTTGTCGCATGGAAGCCATTAGCCTAGTTTATTTACTTGACACAAAGTCGCCATACAAATTCAAAGAGCACGCATAATTGACACTGCCGGTCGTGCTGGACTGCACACATGACCCGAATGCAGTTAACGAACCCTACAGGAAACCCCTACAGTATAGCCTATTAAAGAACGTGTGCCTCTTTAAGCTGTCATTGTAAATCTTCAGACAGTCACACATTTGATAGGCCTATGCACAATTCACTACATAGGCATGTAGTGAAGTCTGTTAGCAATTCAGAGGCATGAGGGGAAATTCTATCTTCAGAGCCTAGGCTATTTTCCTATCCAGTCCCAATCCCAATGAAACCCAAAATCCTGACTCCTGTCTCACTCCTGTTTCTAATTTTATTAGGGAATCCATAGGTTGCATTATCAAAGCACGTCTCTCGCCTATGCATGTCAAAATACCGCTTTCCCCGCTTCTCTGTGCTGTCTCGTACTTGCTGCCCATATGAGAGCTTCGGTGTGATCAACAAACGATATGAGAGTAGAAATTGATATTTTTTAAACAGAGTTGGTCCCCGTTAAGATACCTTGATATTTAAACTATTTCCACTTCATCTCTCCATTATTCATGAGCAGATCTGCTATCTGTATAATCATCAACTTGATTTTGCCAAATATAGGAGATATTCTGTCATTCGTTGAAGGAGGTTAACTTTGGTCATTTGACTTTTGTTTGACTGCTGTTACAAAGAATGATTCGACAATGCTATGCTCGGAGTGCGCTCTGTGCGTGCTGAGCGTGCTCTGTGTCGAGATCTCCTAGGCTACTTCTGTTACTCTATCATGACTACATTTCTGTTTAATTTGCTCTGAAATCTTGACATAGTGGCGCAGCCAAGCCGACAAGGTGGCGCAGCAACCCTGTTATTTGGGGAGAACCCTAGCATAGTGACCATATCTTGGTTTTAAAAGCTTTAAATGGGCACTTCCGATTTTTGCAGTATATCCCGGGACTCTCGGGATAAATATGAATTATTCCAGGTATTGAAACTTGGTAGATTTCGGGAAAATATTAATCCCTACATAGCAAAATATTCCACAATATAAATGTATATGTCAAACTATAACAGAGAAAGGAGCATTACAAACGCATAGCAAGGAACATACTTAGTACATCCCAAGTGGCACCCTATAGCCTATATAGTGCACTACTTTCGGCCAGAGCCCTATGGGAAATAGGGTGCCATTTGGGACGTATCCACTGTGTTGCCACTTCCAGCCCCATTAGGCCTTGACAGAGCCCTGTGGCCTCTGCCTATGGGCTGAGATTTGTTAGCAGTGCTGAGTGAGGGATGGCTGCCCTCCAGTGAGGGGCTAAGGAAGTGTGGAGTATAGCCTGGCAAAGACACGGGCATACAATGGGTTCCCTCTTGACTTCCTCCATTGAGAATAGATGATTTGCTGTTCATGGGGCATGTGTTCGCTCGGTGACCCCTCTGTGGGGAGTGTTTCATCATGACACTAATGGCCTCTGATTGAACACTTCTGAGAGAAGACGACAGGAGAGAGGAAACTGTTTAAGTTGAGTCTAAACATGGTGTGCTTAGATCACCATTCAAATGTTGATATATTGTAAATTGTCTCTGGTAAAAAAAAAAGATCCATGCCAAGGTCTGGTCTAGTGCAGCAGACCCCAACACTATCTTTCTATCTACTATATCTATCTCTCTATTACATTTTAGTCATTTAGCAGACGCTCTTATCCAGAGCGACTTACAGTTAGTGAGTGCATACATCTTCATACTGGCCCCCCGTGGGAAACGAACCCACAACCCTGGCGTTGCAAGCGCCATGCTCTACCAACTGAGCTACAGGGGACTTATATACAGTGGGGGAAAAAATTATTTAGTCAGCCACCAATTGTGCAAGTTCTCCCACTTAAAAAGATGAGAGAGGCCTGTAATTTTCATCATAGGTACACGTCAACTATGACAGACAAAATGAGAAAAAAAATCCAGAAAATCACATTGTAGGATTTTTAATGAATTTATTTGCAAATTATGGTGGAAAATAAGTATTTGGTCAATAACAAAAGTTTCTCAATACTTTGTTATATACCCTTTGTTGGCAATGACACAGGTCAAACGTTTTCTGTAAGTCTTCACAAGGTTTTCACACACTGTTGCTGGTATTTTGGCCCATTCCTCCATGCAGATCTCCTCTAGAGCAGTGATGTTTTGGGGCTGTCGCTGGGCAACACGGACTTTCAACTCCCTCCAAAGATTTTCTATGGGGTTGAGATCTGGAGACTGGCTAGGCCACTCCAGGACCTTGAAATGCTTCTTACGAAGCCATTCCTTCGTTGCCCGGGCGGTGGGTGTTTGGGATCATTGTCATGCTGAAAGACCCAGCCACGTTTCATCTTCAATGCCCTTGCTGATGGAAGGAGGTTTTCACTCAAAATCTCACGATACATGGCCCCATTCATTCTTTCCTTTACACGGATCAGTCGTCCTGGTCCCTTTGCAGAAAAACAGCCCCAAAGTATGATGTTTCCACCCCCATGCTTCACAGTAGGTATGGTGTTCTTTGGATGCAACTCAGCATTCTTTGTCCTCCAAACACGACGAGTTGAGTTTTTACCAAAAAGTTATATTTTGGTTTCATCTGACCATATGACATTCTCCCAATCCTCTTCTGGATCATCCAAATGCACTCTAGCAAACTTCAGACGGGCCTGGACATGTACAGGCTTAAGCAGGGGGACACGTCTGGCACTGCAGGATTTGAGTCCCTGGCGGCGTAGTGTGTTACTGATGGTAGGCTTTGTTACTTTGGTCCCAGCTCTCTGCAGGTCATTCACTAGGTCCCCCCGTGTGGTTCGGGATTTTTGCTCACCGTTCTTGTGATCATTTTGACCCCACGGGTGAGATCTTGCGTGGAGCCCCAGATCGATGGAGATGATCAGTGGTCTTGTATGTCTTCCATTTCCTAATAATTTCTCCCACAGTTGATTTCTTCAAACCAAGCTGCTTACCTATTGCAGATGCAGTCTTCCCAGCCTGGTGCAGGTCTACAATTTTGTTTCTGGTGTCCTTTGACAGCTCTTTGGTCTTGGCCATAGTGGAGTTTGGAGTGTGACTGTTTGAGGTTGTGGACAGGTGTCTTTTATACTGATAACAAGTTCAAACAGGTGCCATTAATACAGGTAACGAGTGGAGGACAGAGGAGCCTCTTAAAGAAGAAGTTACAGGTCTGTGAGAGCCAGAAATATTGCTTGTTTGTAGGTGACCAAATCCTTATTTTCCACCATAATTTGCAAATAAATTCATTAAAAATCCTACAATGTGAATTTCTGGATTTTTATTCCTAAATTGTGTCGTCATAGTTGACGTGTACCTATGATAAAAATTTACAGCCTCTCTCCTTTTTAGTGGGAAAAACTTGCACATTGGTGGCTGACTAAATACTTTTTCCCCACTGTAGATAGAGATATATAGATAGAGATATAGATAGAGAGATATAGATAGAGAGATATAGATAGATATAGATAGAGATATATAGATAGAGATATAGATAGAGATATACAGATAGAGATATACAGATAGAGATATAGATAGAGATATAGAATATAGAGATATATCTCTCTATCTATATCTCTATCTGTCTATCTATATATCTCTATCTATATCTCTCTATCTATATCTCTATCAATATATCTATATCTAGATATTTCTATCTATATATCTCTATCTATCTCCTATCTCTCATCTCATCTGTCTGTCTCCCTCAATTCCCCACGTCAAAAAAGAGTCAAACACAGAACAGAATTCCCTTTTAAAAAAAAGAGAATAAAGATTCCCGAGTAGAAACCCCTCTGGGTCTGCACTTTTAAAAAAAAAGGTTCTACCTAGAACTATATAGGGTTTGTCATCTTGTCCCTGTAGAAGAACTCGATATGACAGTAATTCTTTTTCTATAGCTCCATGTGTTGCTGGGATAAGGCCCTGCGACAGACTAGCGTCCTGTCCAGGGGTTGTACTTGTACATCAGCTGCCTTACACTACAGAAACAGGAGATAGACTAGGGGTCTGTCCAGGTGGTGTACTGGTAAATCAAGCTGCCTTACACTACAGAAACAGGAAAATAGACTCGCAATCCGTCCAGGAGGTGTACTGGTACATCAGCTGCCTCACTAACGAAACAGGAGATAATAGCATCCTGTCCAGGGTGGTGTACTGGTACATCAAAGTGCCTTACACTACAGAAACAGGGGATAGGCTCCTGCTCCTATGAGCCTTTCCGGGTTGGACAAGGCTTAAATTACGAATGTGTGCGTGCTGTGTTTGTTGCGGGCTTTGGGAGTCTGTTTGGGAGACTGGCTGGGGAATGAGTTTTGTGTTCCTGCCTGACCATCAGAGGCCCTATAACCTGAGGGTGGAACTGATCGACTGGGACGGACAGCAGGCCTTCTCCCACTTACGACCGCTTCTACATCGGCAGCGAGAAGCAGAATTACAGGTTTTGATACCAGCAATGTGTTGTGGGACGTATTCTTAAGAGTATCACAGATCACAGTAGGAGTGCTGTTATCAGCTAAAAGATGTCATTTCCACTTTGAAAATTCAGACTTGATTTCCCTAAAGAAAATGTATCAACATCTACAAAAATGTCCATGAATTATAATCCACATAATAATTCACATTCCTGGGTTTCCCGCAGGATTTTTTCTGCTCTAGCAAACTGGCTCAAATTAAGATCCTACATCTGTAATGTACCCTAAGTGGAGAAAAAGGAAGTTTATCGAATCTCAGCGCATTGTACAGTACTGTTTTTATGATCATTGGACATTCCCTGACTAAATACGCCCACAATCCTATTTAAATAGTCACTCTACTACTCAATTGTGGTTGTCTTTTTACTTTCTTGAGGGAAATTTCAGTAGATTTTTTAATGAAGTGGGAATGAAAATTTGACTTTGTTCCATCACTGACAATGATGTGCTTGGTGTTTGTATTTACATCACAGTAACGATGGGTGGAGGGGACTCTGATCATGATTGTATCAATTAATTTTCGTTTGCTTGACTTTTTGGGCAATAACTTATGATTGAGGTTTTAGGACTTAGCAGAAGATCATAATTCTTACTTTTTCCCTTTATTTTCTGTTCAAAAACATTTCGAAAACCTTTTGAGTTTGGGAAAGGAATCATTTGGCTTTAGATTCTTATTCGGGCCATTCTGTAGATGTGATGGAGATGGTCCAAAAAAACTATTTTCACACAGCTTTTTGTAAGAGAGGCTTGCCTCATTTAAAATCTTCAGTCCATTTTGTCCCAAAGCCCAAACCCCACGTACGTAGCTTGGCGTCATCTTCGCTCCAGCGGGTATATCTTCCCCTGGGTCATCCCCCAAAAGCCAAACCACCTCCTTGGCCGCAATTCCTTCCAGTTCTCTGCTGCCAAATGACTGGAACAAATTGCGAAGAAATCTCTGAAGCTGGAGACACTTATCTCCCACTAACTTTAAGCATCAGTTGTCAGAGCACCTTACCGATCACTGCACCTGTACACAGCCCATCTGAATTAGCCCCCCCAACTACCTCATCCCTATATTGTTATCTATTTTGCTCATTGTACCCCAGTATCTCTATTTGCACATCATCTCTTGCACATCTATCATTCCAGTGTTAATACTAATTGTAATTATTTTGCACTATAGCCTATTTTATTGCCTACCTCCATAACTTGCTAAATTTGCACACTGTATATTATATGTATTTATGTTGTATTTTTGACTTTGTTTTGTTTTACCCTATATGTAACTCTGTGTTTGTTTTTATCGCACTGCTATGCTTTATCTTGGCCAGGTCGCAGTTGTAAATGAGAACTTGTTCTCAACTGGTTTACCTGGTTAAATAAAGGTGAAATAAAAAAAATAAAAAAATAAAATATAGATAGAGATATAGATAGAGATATATAAATAGAGATATATAGATAGAGATATAGATATAGAGATATAGATAGAGATATATAGATATAGCTATATAGATAGAGATATATAGATAGAGATATAGATATAGAGATATAGATAGAGATATATAGATATAGCTATATAGATAGAGATATATAGTAGTTTATAGATAGAGATTTTAGATAGGCTATATAGATAAGATATTAGATAGAGATATCTAGATCGACGAGAAATAGTAGAGATCTAGAGTAAGATTAGCTTATACTCGAGCGCTTAGATACTAGATAGTCTATGCTCGCGATAGCTCTATCGATCGCGCTATAAATGATCGTGCGATATAGATAGGTTCTCTGATAGAGAATAGATAGAGATATATCGTTTATGATATGAGATATATATTAGATATATGATAGAGATCTACAGTATAGATCGCGATCTTGATAGAGCTATGATAGAGATCTCTCGATCGAGATCTAGATAGAGATCTCTAGATAGAGATATAGCTCGAGATCTCTCGTAGAGATACAGATGGATATATTGCTCGCGCATCTATTGATGCGATATAGATAGAGAGATCGACTAGAGAGATATAGAGCTCATTAGATGAGATACGCTAGAGCTCTACTTGCTGGATATAGATCGCGATATCTAGCATCGAGATATCTTGATAGAGATATCGATAGAGAGATAGAATAGAGAGATATAGACGATATATCTCTCTATCTATATCTCTATCTCTCTATCTATATATCTCTATCTATATCTCTCTATATCTCTATCAATATATCTCTATCTATATCTCTATCTATATCTCTAGCTATATCTATATATCTCTATCTATATCTCTATATCTACTCATCTCATCTGTCTGTCTCCCTCAATTCACCACCGTCAAAAAAGAGTAAAACACAGAACAGAATTCCTTTAAAAAAATTGAATAAAGATTCCCTGAGTAGAACATCCCTCTAGTCTGCACTCTTAAGAAAAAAGGTTCTACCTAGAACCATATAGGGTTTGTCATCTTGTCCCTGTAGAAGAACTCGATATGACAGTAATTATTTTTCTATAGCTCCATGTGTTGCTGGGATAAGGCCCTGCGACAGACTAGTGTCCTGTCCAGGGGTTGTACTTGTACATCAAGCTGCCTTACACTACAGAAACAGGAGATAGACTAGCATCCTGTCAAGGTGGTGTACTGGTACATCAACAGGAGATAGGCTCCTGCTCCTTTGAGCCTTTCTGGCTTGGACAAGGCTTACTTACGAATGTGTTGCTGTGCTGTTGTGTTGTTGCAGGGCTTTGGGAGTCTGTTTGGAGAGCACTGGCTGGGGAATGAGTTTGTGTTCCTGCTGACCAGTCAGAGGCCCTATAACCTGAGGGTGGAACTGATCGACTGGGACGGACAGCAGGCCTTCTCCCACTACGACCGCTTCTACATCGGCAGCGAGAAGCAGAATTACAGGTAGGATACCAGCAATGTGTTGTGGGACGTATTCTTAAAGAGTATCACAGTATCACAGTAGGAGTGCTGTTATCAGCTACAGATGTCATTTCCACTTTGAAAATTCAGACTTGATTTGCCCTAAAGAAAAATTATCAACCTCTACAAAAATGTCCATGAATTATAATCCACATAATAATTCACATTTCCTGTTCCTGCAGGATTCTTTTCCTGCTCTAGCAAACTGGCTCAAATTAAGCTATTACATCTGTATGTACCCTAAGTGGAGAAAATGAGTTTTATCGAATCGAATCTCAGCGCATTGTATCGTACCCACAGTACTGTTTTTATGATCATTGGACATTCCCTGACTAAATACGCCCACATTCCTATTTAAATAGTCACTCTACTACTCAATTGTGGTTGTCTTTTTACTTTCTTGAGGAATTGCAGTAGATTTTTAATGAAGTGGGAATGAGATATTGGACTTTGTTCCATCACTGACAATGATGTGCTTGGTGTTGTATTTACATCACAGTAACGATGGTGAGGCACTGGGGACTCTGATCATGATTTGTAATCAATTAATTTTTCAGTTTGCTTGACTTCTTTGTCCATAACCTTATGATTGAGGCTTCTAGGACTTCAGCAGAAGATCATAATTCTTACTTTTCCATTTATTCTCTGTTCAAAAACATACTGAAAAATCTTTTTGAGTTCTGGAATGGAATCAATTTTGGTCTCTAGATTCTTATTTCATGACCATTCTGTAGTACTTGTGATGGAGATGGTCCAAAACAAACTATTGTCACACAGCTTCTTAGTGAAAGAGAGGCTCTGCCTCATTTCACAATGCCATTACTAACAAAATAAACTGTAAGATCGTAAAAGGGAATTACCATATTCTAATTCCTTAGAACGATAACAGGAAGCTTTGTCTCAATCTGATTTAGTTCACCCACACACGGATGTGCGATCACACAAACGAACACACACGTGTACCATTTTTACCTGGCTCACATTTTTGCTAGCCAGTTAAAAACAAGGAAGGATGGAAGGATGTACAAAGAGCTATTAGATTAACTCTTGAGTAGTATTGAGAGTGAGAGTAAACAGAGTATGTCAGTGGAAATGGAAAAGTAATTTACAGTACATAGCAGTCAGTATATATAACCTGTTAGCGGGAATCTATGTAAATAATGACCATTCTTTTAAACATGGCATAGAGAGGAAGATCACAGCCTTTAAAAGGAAAGCTATTCTATGGAGTGTGGCGTTAAATGGGCCTACAGCTCAAATCCAATCACATTTTATTGGTCGCATACACATATTTAGTAGATGTTATTGCGGGTGTAGCGAAATGCTTGTGTTCCTAGCTCCAACAGTGCAGTAATACCTAGCTAAATGCTTGTGTTCCTAGCTCCAACAGTGCAGTAATACCTAGCTAAATGCTTGTGTTCCTAGCTCCAACAGTGCACTAATACCTAGCTAAATGCTTGTGTCCTAGCTCCAACATTGCATAATACCTAGCTAAATGCTTGTAATCTAGCTCCAACAGTTGCAGTAATACCTAGCTAAATGCTTGTGTTCCTAGCTCCAACAGTGCAGTAATACCTAGCTAAATGCTTGTGTTCCTAGCTCCAACAGTGCAGTAATACCTAGCTAAATGCTTGTGTTCCTAGCTCCAACAGTGCAGTAATACCTAGCTAAATGCTTGTGTTCCTAGCTCCAACAGTGCAGTAATACCTAGCTAAATGCTTGTGTTCTTAGCTCTAACAGTGCAGTAATACCTAGCTAAATGCTTGTGTTCCTAGCTCCAACAGTGCGGTAATATCTAGCTAAATGCTTGTGTTCCTAGCTCCAACAGTGCAGTAATACCTAGATAAACGCTTGTGTTCCTAGCTCCAACAGTGCAGTAATTACACTTTTACATTTTAGTCATTTAGCAGACGCTCTTATCCAGAGCGACTTACAGTTAGTGAGTGCATACATTATTTTATTTTTTTCATACTGGCCCCCGTGGGAAACGAACCCACAACCCTGGCGTTGCAAGCGCCATGCTCTACCAACTGAGCTCCAACATTGCAGTAATACCTAGCTAAACGCTTGTGTTCCTAGATCTTACAGTGCAGTAGTATCTAACAATACAAAACAATACACACAAATGTGATAGCAAGATGGCGCCGATAGACATGGTCGCCCTGTTCATGGCTCCTATGCAACTTTGCAGCTCTTCAGATACACTGGGTTTCAGAGAGCCAGGCTGCCTTCCACTACTACTTAGTTAGTGTGACACAGAGTCACTGTAGAGGAGCCAAACACCTGGTCAACATACCATACTGAAGCCCCATTAATGATCAGCCTGACACTTTGATGGGTCAGATATATGACCACACAGAGGGACCACATATAAATAGAGACGTTATAATTGACGAACAACAGTGTTCAGGTAAAATTCAATTGTGATATGTATTAATTTCTTTCATTATCTGTGTCATTCATATTCTTGTAATAGATGAATTAATTGAACAATGTTTGTTAAATACAATAAGATCATAGAAATGTGGTTTCTTGCTGTGAGGCCTGATGTGTTGAACTAATCACCTCTCTCTAAGTGACTGTTGTACTGTATCTATGATGGTCTAACATAGACATAGTATTCAACATAGATATGGTATTCAACATAGACATAGTATTCAACATAGATATGGTATTCAACATAGACATAGTATTCAACATAGATATAGTATTCAACATAGATATGGTATTCAACATAGACATAGTATTCAACATAGATATGGTATTCAACATAGACATAGTATTCAACATAGATATGGTATTCAACATAGACATAGTATTCAACATAGATATAGTATTCAACATAGATATGGTATTCAACATAGACATAGTATTCAACATATATATAGTATTCAACATGGATATGGTATTCAACATATACATAGTATTCAACATAGATATAGTATTCAACATAGACATAGTATTCAACATAGACACAGTATTCAACATATAGTATTCAACATAGATATAGTATTCAACATAGACATAGTATTCAACATAGACATAGTATTCAACATAGACAGTATTCAACATAGTATTCAACATAGACATAGGATTCAATATATTCAACATAGACACAGTATTCAACATAGACATAGTATTCAACATAGACATAATATTCAAGTCTACTGATTAAGAATAGGGCCTCTCTCTTCCGTGAAGTATCCATTACCTGGTTCTGGCAAGACCTCAAAGATGTCTGACTCATAAACCACAGTTGGACCTGCCGCTTGACATGCAGTACAGTAGATGGGGCAATACAATGCAGGATGAGAGAGTGCAAAGTGTTCACAGGGAAGTGTATATGGCTTGAAACAAATGAGGAAACCAACAATACCCTCATAAACCAGGATTTTCTTTATAAAAGCAACAGGTGTGATTGGTTTTGATATAGTGTACGAGAATTTCAAAGACACTTCTTTAGAAGGGTACATATTCTTTGTATTAGATTAAAAGAACATTGTGGTGGTGAATTTCTGTCCTCAAGCGTTCGCACAGTGAGAACAAGGGGAGGTACTCGGATTTGCATACAGAATAATATGAAATACTCTGAGACCAGGTTGCAAGGGGAGGTACATATTATTTGTGTTAGATTAGAAGAACAGTGTGGTGTATGCACTGTATGAAAATGTATGCACTCACTAACTGTAAGTCGCTCTGGATAAGAGCGTCTGCTAAATGACTAAAATGTAAATGTAAAATGGTGGTGAATTTCTTTCCTCCAGTGTTCCCACAGTGAGAACAAGAACAAAGCATTCTCCAGCAGCTAAAGGGCATTCCCATTGTGTTTCTGCTTTATTTCCCTCTGTGTTACCCTGGCGACTGTGTCAGGCTGTTCCTGAAGAGTCACAGTGGAACGGCAGGCAGACAGAGCAGCCTGGTCATCAACGGAGCAGACTTCAGTACCAAGGATATGGACAATGACAACTGCATCTGCAAATGTGCTCTCATGCTCACCGGGGGTATGTCTGAGGCTAAAGTCCACATCGACCCCTAATCACATGCACTCTGTATGCACTCCTGTAGAACTGAAACAATTGGATAAGTAGACAACAACAACAACCCACCCAGATTATGCTAGGCAAGGTGAAAACATTTCCAACCCACTGACCTCCCTGTCACCATCACCCACTTTATCCCCCCCTGGTCTAGAAGACCTTCAGAGCAGGCCGGAGCCAGTTAGCATGTATTCAGCACTGTTACTGACATATCAAAGCAGAGGATGCTATTTTAGCTGGTTATGCCAGGTGGCAGCCCTCAGCATTTTACAGAATGATTGCCACGTGCCATGTGGCTGGTTTAGAAGTCCAGGGAACTGGCCAGCAGAAATGATAGAAAATAACAGTACAATTCCTATTACAGTGATGTAAATGAGTAGCTACAATCCCATCAGGATTTAGATCAAGAATGGACATCAGAAAATGCATAGTACAGATACATGTCTTTATTCTTTTATCAATGTCTAGACCAGCGTTTCCCAAACCCGGTCCTGGGGCCCCCTCTGGGTACACATTTTGGTTTTTGCCCTAGCACTACACAGCTGATTCAAATAATCAAAGCATGATGATGAGTAAATTATTTGAATCAGCTGTGTAGTGCTAGGGAACAAACCAAAACATGCACCCATTGGGGTCCCCAGGACCGAGTTTGGCAAACGCTGGTCTAGAGTGACAACGAGGTATTTAAATCCACATACAGCATGCACCTCTTGCCCTCAATACACTGGGGTGCTTTAGACCCAAAAGTAGCCACAAACATCAAGCACCAGCTTCCAGTCAGTTCTAACCTATAACACAGAATTTAGATGCCCATGGAATGTAGGTTAAAGCATGGCTGACGCCAACACGTAGCTTACTAGAGTATGGCTGTATCCCAAATGGCACCCTATTCCCAATATAGTGCACTACTTTTGACCAGAGCTCTGGACCAGAGTAGTGCACTACATAGGGAACAGGGTGCCATTTGGGACTTAACCCATAGGTTGATGAGTTCAGGAGGTGTAGTGGTTAGTGGATAGATCACTTGGCATTAACGGCCCTCCATAAGACTCCAAGTAGCTGGTCCAAACGTGTTGGGCTCGCAGAGATTGTTGTAGACTATTTATATTTTGTTAGTTGCCCTCACACTCCTCTCTCACCTGTAATGAAAGGTCAGAGGTCAGAATGGGGCAAAGCTATCCAGAGAGAGGAGTGCTGGAGTCTGCTCTAGTGTTGACGACTTGGCGCTGCAACAAAGCTATCTAGAGATAATCAGAGGTTACAGGGAGGTCACACAGTTATGACTTTGATAGTTCCTCTGATAGTGTAACATCATCAAGCCTAAAATAAATGTTGTTTGTTTCTCTCTGCCTTTCTCTCTATGCCTTCAGGTTGGTGGTTCGATGCCTGTGGACCATCGAACCTGAACGGGATGTACTACAATCATGGTCAGAACATGGGTAAACTGAATGGGATCAGGTGGCACTACTTCAAAGGGTCGAGTTACTCTCTCCGTGCTACCGCCATGATGATACGACCAGCAGACTTCTGAGAGGACCTTTCGGTGACTGTCGTTGGGTACATTGTCCAGAGCCATATTGGCATCATTAGCCATGTTTCCATCCAACTGTTTTTATGGGATAAAGTACTGGCCTGTTGCATAAAAAAACTCAGAACAGGTGTGACGGAAACACAAAATACAAGGTGGGATAATTGTTTGTACTTTGACTTGAGAAAAAGGAGCAACATAATCTTGCTTTCTATGAGGAACTTGGATTCTGACATTCTGGTGCTTACATGTCCTCTTGAAAGACATTGATTGTTTGAGATAGTATGCTTCAGCACCAGCTCTGCTATGAATCAAACTGTAGAAGTGGGTCACATGAAGAGGATATGAACGGAAGACTTGGTGCTTTTGAAAGACTTTCATTTCTCGTTTCATTAGTCTCTCTTTCATTTCTCTTTTCATTAGTCTCTTTTCATTTCTCTCTTTTCATTTGTCTCTGCTGTGCATTGTTCTTGTATGGGTAAGGTGGTCCTCTGTAGCTCAGCTGGTAGAGCACGGCGCTTGTAACGCCAAGGTAGTGGGTTCGATCCCCGGGACCACCCATACACCAATTTTTTTTGGGGATAAAAGCGTCTGCTAAATGGCATATTATTATTATAAGATATTCCTTTGCAATCTGTTAACACGTTGTGAATCAGTGTACTGCTCTCTTAGTCTGCACTGTGGGCAGAGAAGCCTGATGGCCTTGTACACATTTAAAACACCTCTATAGTGGATTGCTGTTCAAAGTTTTGTGTGACAGAGTTTTTAGCATATCCTCATTTGTGTGTGTGTGTGTGTGTGTGTGTGGAGTGTGTTTTAAATCATTATGTTTAAGGCAAGGTTTCTAAGTGTGTCTCACCACACTTTAATATTTAATAGAGATAAATAATGTATGTATTATACCCCTCCTAGATTTGGATTAATTTGCAGCATCTATTGGGGCCTTTGTTGAACTTTGTGTCAATGACAAAAGTACTGTAGCTTTTTTGTGCTGATCAAAATATTCCCCCTAAAAACAATGCCAAGCATTTTTTCTGCTCCATACAGCAGTCCAACACGCTGGAGACTGCAGTGACTTCATGAACTTAGGCAACACTTTCTGCCTCGGGGGTGGACTTTCCTATTGATATGATGTTAAAGTTCAGTGACAGACAAACAGATACAGTACATGGCGGAGGCTCAATCAAGCTAGTCGTCTTGACTATTTTCTTATGTAATTCTTGCTGGCACCAAAAGTTTAAAAAGTGTTGATAGGGGACAGAATGCGGTGGGACCATCAAATAATTGGCATATACAGAATTTCCATGTGGGCGAGGATATTTAATCAAAGTCTATTGGATGACAACTTATTGTTAACCAAGACAGAATTTATAAATGACTTTTTCCGACATAGCATACAGTGCATTCGGAAAGTATTCAGACCCCTTGACTTTTTCCACATTTTGTTACGTTACAGCCTTATTTCTAAAATGGATTAAATAAAACATTTCCTCATCAATCTACACACAATACCCCATAATGACAAAGCAAAAACAGGTTTTTAGAAATGTTTATAAAGACCCTTTGCTATGAGACTCGAAATTGAGCTCCATTGATCATCCTTGAGATGTTTCTACAATTTGATTGGAGTCCACCTGTGGTATATTCAATTGATTTGACATGGTTTGGAAAGGCACACACCTGTCTATATAAGGTCCCACAGTTGACAGGGCATGTCAGAGCAAAAACCAAGCCATGAGGTCGAAAGGAATTGTCCGTAGAGCTCCGAGACAGGATTGTGTCAAGGCACAGATCTGGGGAAAGGTACCAAAAAATGTCTGCAGTATTGAAGGTCCCCAAGAACACAGTGGCCTCCATCATTCTTAAATGGAAGAAATTTGGAACCACCAAGACTCTTCCTAGAGCTAGCCGCCCATCCAAACTGAGCAATCGGGGGAGAAGGGCCTTGGTCAGGGAGGTGACCAAGAACCCGATGTTCACTCTGACAGAGCTCCAGAGTTCCTCTGTGGAGATGGGAGAACCTTCCAGAAGGACAATCATCTCTGCAGTACTCCACCAATCAGGCCATTATGGTAGAGTGGCCAGACGGAAGCCACTCCTCAGTAAAAGGCACATGACAGCCTGCTTGGAGTTTGCCAAAAGGCACCTAAAGGACTCTCAGACCATGAGAAACAAGATTCTCTGGTCTTATGAAACCAAGATTGAACTCTTTGGCCTGAATGCCAAGCGTCACATCTGGAGGAAACCTGGCACCATCCCTAAGGTGAAGCATGGTGGTGGCAGCATCATGCTGTGGGAATGTTTTTCAGCGGCAGGGACTGGGAGACTAGTCAAGATCGAGGGAAAGATGAACGGAGCAAAGTACAGATAGATCCTTGATGAAAACCTGCTCCAGAGTGCTCAGGACCTCAGACTCGGGCAAAGGTTCACTTTCCAACAGGACAACGACCCTAAGCACACAGCCAAGTCAACACAGGAGTGGCTTCGGGACAAGTCTCTGAATGTCCTTGAGTGGCCCAGCCAGAGCCCTGACTTGGACCCGATCGAACATCTCTGGAGAGACTTGAGGCTGTAACTTGAGGCTGTAATCGCTGCCAAAGGTGCTTCAACAAAGTACTGAGTAAAGGGTCTGAATACTTATGTAAATGTGATATTTCCAGATTATTTTATATACATTTACAAAAATGTACTGTATATAAACCTGTTTTTGCTTTGTCATTATGGGGTATTGTATGTAGATTGATGAGGGGGGGAAAACAATTTAATCAATTTTAGAATACGGCTGTAATGTAACAAAATGTGGAAAAAGTCCAGGGGTCTGAAGATTTTCCGAATGCACTGATAGGTACAGCAGATGCCCTTATTGTATGGGACACTTCTAATGTGCTTTTAGAGGTCATGCAATTCCATACTCATCTTTAAAACAAAAGCAATTTAAGTCAGAATAGTTCATATTAAAATAAATAGAGGGACTAACAGTACAGATACAGTGGGGAAAACAAGTATTTAGTCAGCCACCAATTGTGCAAGTTCTCCCACTTAAAAAGATGAGAGAGGCCTGTAATTTTCATTATAGGTACACGTCAACTATGACAGACAAATTGAGAAAAAAAAATCCAGAAAATCACATTGTAGGATTTTTTATGAATTTATTTGCTAATTATGGTGGAAAATAAGTATTTGGTCACCTACAAACAAGCAATATTTCTGGCTCTCACAGACCTGTAACTTCTTCTTTAAGAGGCTCCTCTGTCCTCCACTCGTTACCTGTATTAATGGCACATGTTTGAACTTGTTATCAGTATAAAAGACACCTGTCCACAACCTCAAACAGTCACACTCCAAACTCCACTATGGCCAAGACCAAAGAGCTGTCAAAGGACACCAGAAACAAAATTGTAGACCTGCACCAGGCTGGGAAGACTGAATCTGCAATAGGTAAGCAGCTTGGTTTGAAGAAATCAACTGTGGGAGCAATTATTAGGAAATGGAAGACATACAAGACCACTGATAATCTCCCTCGATCTGGGGCTCCACGCAAGATCTCACCCCGTGGGGTCAAAATGATCACAAGAACGGTGAGCAAAAATCCCAGAACCACACGGGGGGACCTAGTGAATGATCTGCAGAGAGCTGGGACCAAAGTAACTAAATACTTTTTTCCCCCACTGTATAAGCTGGAAGTAGAAGCCTAAGTTGTTGTCCATTAGTTTACTCCAATTAGGGGAGGGGTGGTAGGGTTAGGGAAAAATAATAAAGGTAAATATATAAAAAAATATATATACACTACCGTTCAAAAGTTTTAGAACACCTACTCATTCAAGGGTTTTTCTTAATTTTTTTTACTATTTTCTACATTGTAGAATAATAGTGAAGACATCAAAACTATGAAATAACACATATGGAATCATGTAACCAAAAACGTGTTAAACAAATCAAAATATATTTTATACTTGAGATTCTTCAAAGTAGCCACCCTTTGCCTTGATGACAGCTTTGCACACTCTTTGCATTCATGAGGTAGTCACCTGGAATGCATTTCAATTAACAGGTGTGCCTTGTTAAAAGTTAATTTGTGGAATTTCTTTCCTTCTTAATGCGTTTGAGCCAATCAGTTGTGTTGTGACAAAGTAGGGTTGGTATACAGAAGATAGCCCTATTTGGTAAAAGACCAAGTCCATATTATGGCAAGAACAGCTCAAATAAGCAAAGAGACAGTCCATCATTACTTTAAGACATAAAGGTTAGTCAATCCAGAAACCACTACTAAAGGACATCAATAATAAGAAGAGACTTGATTGGGCCAAGAAACACGAGCAATGAACATTAGACCGGTGGAAATCTGTCCTTTGGTCTGATGAGTCCAAATTTGCGATTTTTGGTTCCAACCGCCATGTCTTTGTGAAACGCAGAGTAGGTGAACGGATGATCTCCGCATGTGTATTTCCCACCGTGAAGCATGGCGGAGGAGGTGTGATGGTGTGGGGGTGCTTTGCTGGTGACACTGTCTGTGATTTATTTAGAATTCAAGGCACACTTAATCAGCATGGCTACCACAGCATTCTGCAGCGATACGCCATCCCATCTGGTTTGCGCTTAGTGGGACTATCATTTGTTTTTCAACAGGACAATGACCCAAAACACACGTCCAGGCTGTGTAAGGGCTATTTGAACAAAGGAGAGTGATGGAGTGCTGCATCAGATGACCTGGCCTCCACAATCACCCGACCTCAACCCAATTGAGCTGGTTTGGGATGAGTTGGACCGCAGAGTGAAGGAAAAGCAGCCAACAAGTGTTCAGCATATGTGGGAACTCCTTCAAGACAGTTGGAAAAGCATTCCTCATGAAGCTGGTTGAGAGAATGCCAAGAGTGTGCAAAGTTCTCACCAAGGCAAAGGGTGGCTACAATACATTTTGATTTATTTGACACTTTTTCGGTTACTACATGATTACATATGTGTTATTTAATAGTTTTGATGTCTTCACTATTATTCCTACAATGTAGAAAATAGTACAAAATAAATAAAAACCCTTGAATGAGTAGGTGTGTCCAAACTTTTGTCTGGTAGTGTATATATATATATTTTATAATATATGTATTTAAAATAATCTATGTATTTAAAATATATATATTTATAAAAAAATATATGGGGAATTGGAAATGATGCAGACAGTTACATTGATAGAAGCTGCCACAATCTATCTGCACAATATTAACGCTGATAATTGCTCTTTATGGAGGTAAATCCTTATAAATCAACTGAACACGATAATAAATTACTATGTCAACATTTTATTAAAACATATTAGAATAAAAACTTTGGTTTGACAAAATATTAATAATTTAAAAAGCTGTGTGTGTGTGTGTGTGTGAGCGAGTGTGTAGCCTACATGTCTGAAAATGTATGTAGTGTATGTAGTCAGAGATCCAACTGTTTAGAAAAAACATTTAATAGATTCAATTATTATTATTATTTGCCTGTTTGGCATGTTATTTTGGCATTAATATGTGTCACATATCAGTTGACAAATCATTGACTTAATAAAGCCGCATACAAACATGGTCTCTTTTTTGCTTTCTTGAGTAAGGCAGCTCCAAAAATGCAGGTGTTTCAGCCTAGTTCAGTGCTATCTGTGGTGGAGGGGCAGCCAGCGGAAAATACGGAGCGTAGGGGTTGGTAATGTTCTCTAGTTGTGTCGTGATTGGCTCAGTGTTCTGTCACTCATGGGGACACTATGTCACCACCAAGTCTAAGGGTAGAGCTCGAAAATGCAAGCCCCTTGGGTGCTGCCATAGAGTTACATTAGAAGTACCCATCCAAGAAGACTCAAAGTCATTGGCCACAGATAAAATGACGTCATATCACGTTAGATGTACCATAGCTTTGATTGGACTGATCATGTCAACATCATGCTTTCAAAATCTTAGCTAGCAGTCATCATCATGAATCAAGTCGACAATCTGGCAAATACTTTTCAATCCTTGTCATATTAATATAAATTATGTAGAGAAATTATAGATAAAATGTATTGGTGCTCATCGGCCATTGGACATAAACATTACACAAGTTGGAAATCACAAATTCAACAATGAGTGGTTTGGAAGGAATCCGTGGCTAATGGCAAGCATTGCAAAGCAACCACTAGCCTGCTATTCAGTGGAGTGAGTGTGTGGTCCAAGTCTGGGTTTAAGGGTCTCTTTCCAAGCTTAAAAGGATAAACATTCAACATTGGCCATGCTGTCAATCCAGCATGACTTCTGCCGCGTTTGAAACAACTGGAAACTCAGAACTGGGAAAATCTCAGACTTAAGTGAGTTCAAGAAAACTGTGAACTTGGAAAAGAATGAGCTCTTACTGGGAAAATACGTTTTGAACGGTCATCCAACTCGGAATTATAAATCGGGAACTCGGGCCTCTTTCTAGAGCTCCGACCTGAAGATCACTGACGTCATGATTCGACCTTGTTTTTTTCCCAAGTTCCCAGTTGTCTTGAAAGCACCATAAATCCAGAGAATGGCAGACTTTGATGACAAAGTTGGATGACAAAATTTCCCCCGAAGGACCGTATAAATATGCCAGGGAGATATGTATACTGTAGCTAAGAAAGTAATACTAAGTGTATGTTGTGTAGTAAGCTGTTAGTAGCCCATGTGCCTCACCCTAATAATTTGCTCCCTTTTTCCCTCATAATTTTGCCTACTGTTCTGACTTGGTGGTGCACATTTAGCCTATAGCCTGTTTTAGAGAAATGTCATCATCGAATGTTGTAAGAGCTTTCATTGTCTGCTTATACGCCCCTTTTAATTATCCTACGGTTCTGACTTGGTGTACAGGGAGAATATTTTAAGAATGGCCCATGTTCTGAATTCTGTCGCTTTACATTTCAAAAGTGCTGAACAAATAGTTATATTGACTACGTCCGTCCTAGCTCACTCATTAATGTCTTAATCAAAATGATGGATTGCCTCTTATCCGCTCGTCATCCCCTTATGCCGTAGTTTGTACATCTTTATTGTCAGTAGAAACCACATTTGTTTAAGCAAGTCAGCCATTTCAGCTATGTTTTTTTAAAGGCAGTAAATGAGGCTGAATGAACTGTTTCGTTGCCAGACAAGGCTCCGCTGATAGCCAGCTGTACTAGTGGTAAGGTCTTGGGACTCTGCTGTTGGGACAGCTTTATGTATGCCCTAACAGTATGTGGGTACCGTTTGTTACCGTTATAGTGCAATTAATGTGTTGTTTAGTGTTGTGTAGTCTTTGCTGGCATGCATCTAAAAAAAATATATACAGATATACAGTACATGCTAAAATCGCCACTGTATGTAGTAAATGTACAATTGAAGTCGGAAGTTTAAATACACAGGTTGGAGTCATTAAAACTTGTTTTTCAACCACTCCACAAATTTCTAGTTTTGACAAGTCGGTTAGGACATCTTGTTTGTGCATGACACAAGTCATTTTTCCAACAATTGTTTACAGACAGATTATTTCACTTATAATTCACTGTATCACAATTCCAGTGGGTTTACATACACTAAGTTGACTGTGCCTTTAAACAGCTTGGAAAATTCCAGGAAATGATGTCATGGCTTTAGAAGCTTCTGATAGGCTAATTGACATCATTTGAGTCAATTGGAGGTGTACCTGTGGATGTATTTCAAGGCCTTCCTTCAAACTCAGTGCCTCTTTGCTTGACATCATGGGAAAATCAAAAGAAATCAGCCAAGACCTCAGAAAAATAATTGTAGACCTCCACAAGTCTGGTTCATCCTGGGAGCAATTTCTAAATGCCTGAAGGTACCACGTTCATCTGTACAAACAATAGTACGCAAGTATAAACACCATGGGACCACGCAGCCGTCATACCGCTCAGGAAGGAGACGCGTTCTGTCTCCTAGAGATTAACGTACTTTGGTGCGAAAAGTGCAAATCAATCCCAGAACAACAGCAAAGGACCTTGTGAAGATGCTGGAGGAAACAGGTACAGAAGTATCTATATCCACAGTAAAACTAGTACTATATCGACATAACCTGAAAGGGTGCTCAGCAAGGACAAGCCACTGCCCCAAAACCGCCATAAAAAAGCCAGACTATGGTTTGCAACTGCACATGGGGACAAAGATCATACTTTTTGGAGAAATGTCCTCTGGTCTGATGTAACAAAAATAGAACTGTTTGGCTGTCCGGTGTCCCCTCCTATTATAATTATATGTACTCTAATCTTCCAACATTACCATGGGTTGAAGAACTGAATGTGGCAATTTTCTGAATTAATCAAACCACAGTTTTCTTTCGATCGTGCATAAAGGCTCTCCAAACCTGTTTTTTATTATTAATAAATAATCTACAAGATCAGAGTATTTTAAAATCTACCAATTGGGGCTGAAACAGAGACAAATATGCATATATTTAGAAGGCTTTCTGTCATTGATCCCTAATATTCTGAACCCGTTTTCTCTATATATTCTAGTCTGTCGACACATTTCTAACTAAATGGTGTACCTTATTTAAAGGGATGGCTTAAGATAAATGTACTGAAAACCCCATTGAACGAAAACTCCACGAATTTGTTGGCCAGCAAGTGGGAGGGTTTTCAGCGGTTTAAATTTATTCTGAACACACAAGGTTACGCAACTAAGTAAGTTAAGTCTGAATAAATATTGAGAAGTGCGTAGGAAAGGCGAGCGTAGGAAAGTCATTCATTCCTATGTCGGGATCGGCCCCTTAAGCCCCTTGATGACTATGTGAGTGAAAAATTCTCACAATAATGGAGACAGGAAATGTTGAATCTCCTCTGACCCTCTAGAGTTCAACTGAAATATATGTAATGAAACAAATCTTCTACAATAAAATTGGTATTTGAGCCAATGAACTAATTTTTCAGCGTGTTAATGTTTGAAGGGAAGAAGTTCCTCTTGGGGTAATAAAACAACTGAAGATGGGAAGACTGATTTTGGGCAGTTTTAGGACAAATTCATATGGTTTTGGTATATTAATTTAATTGTTATGTTAGTGTATCTTTCTTTAACCCCTATTTCAGATAATTATATTGTTACAATTCAGAGTAGAGAACATCCTCTAAATACTCTTATTTCCTTATAATATTACCTTGACACTCCCTCCCAAAGTAGCCTCGACCAATTAGAAAACAATATCGGACTTCTCTTGTGTGAGTGACTAAAGGTGTTCTTTGAAATAATCCTTTGGTCTAAAGCTAATGGAATGTTCAGCATGTATCAATTCTAAGAGGAAGCAGTAGACTAGAAGGACCTGGCAGAGACAGAGAGATAAGAAGCTCTCACAGGTTATCACATAGATCTCAAGATATCACTGTAGGTATCTACACAACTAACTAAATATAAAACTTGCATTTGTATTTAACTCATGAAAATATTATGATGTTAATACTCATCAGCTCTTGGTACATGGGCACAAAGACTTTGGCCCTATTACCTAAAAATGTAAATTCAATGATATGACCTTATTTTTAATTTGACATTAGCTTAGCACTGCAAGAGTAGGTTCAACTTTTTAAAGCTGTTTAATAACATTTCATGTTCAAGAATGGTTTGTTGTTTGTAAAGTCACATTTCACAATTTAAAGTTTATTTTATTCCTCCCCCGTCCTATGAACTACTATGAAAAACAGTTTACAATTATTTCAAGTTTTACCATTTAAAGTCAAATGGAGTGAGAGAGAAACTGAGTGAAATGAAAGGTCATAAGTATTGATGCCTCCCGTTTGCAGAATGTTCTCAATCCTGTTTGTCACAGTGTTCTTTGCCAGCTGTTTGGCAATGCATGAGTAATAAATAATATCACAATTCACTTCAACTTTTTCAGTTAGACTTAGAAGTTCTTAGAGACATCTTCTGATGGTTTAATGCATTGCAGAATGTACTTTTTAGTTAATTAATTTGCACTTTTTAAATTATGTGAAGATCTTTGAGAAATGTGTCAGTAAAATGAAAACTATACATATAAATAAAATATACTGTATATTCTGTGCATATAGTGTAGGTGTGTATATATATGTATATATTGATTATTAATATAGTAAACATATTGCCTATGTTATTTTAGCCATCAAAGACCCGTACTCGTATTCCTCTGCGGTGGGTCTGGGCACTGGCACCCCATTTGCTTCCTCCGGTGAGGGACGCATCACAGCGGTCAGTGTGGGAGAACAACTACTACTACTACTACTACTACAACAACGCCTACATCAACGGGTGAGCAGACCCTGACCCATGAACAGACACCACTGACTCAGTCCAACTACACTACCCAACAGACACCAAACAGACACTTTCTTTCTTTCTTTCTTTCTTTATGTTCATTACATACTCAGTACATGACAAATAGTGTTATCATATCTAACCCCGAGTACAATGGAAAATGTCAGTCCTTGATACTCTACAACCCTACCTCTTTTCTTTGTCTGAATGTGCCTTATCAAAACACAACCAACATGAAAAGCCTGCTCTGTTTCTTAGGTTTCAGCTGAGATATGACTACACCTGGTCTCCTGTGTTCGGTCGCGAAGTGGGTGAAAAAAGGAGATGTGGGCAGTGAGCTGAGGCTTCTCAGCGGCCGCTCCGACGGTGCCGGCATCACCTCCATCGGAGCCCACTGGGGATTCATGTACATGGAAGAGGCTGGAAACAGCACCTCCTCTTAATTGAAAAAATGTGTCTTTCTCTTTGGGATGGTTTCCCGAATACAGATGAAGCCTAGTCCTGGACTAGTTACTTTCAATGGAGATTCTCCATTCAGCATGCTTTTTAGTCCAGGAGTAAGATTCATCTGGGTCCAGGAAACTGACCCTTTATGTTTTGGACGGATGTTTGACATAGACGCTGACAGGACTGTTTCGGTATATGAAATAAATTAATTGAACCTTTTGAAGCTGAATGAATTTGAATGTTTAGAATATTATTTAGTATTTTCTAAATATGCACACTGTCCTTTGTGAGTTTACCCCAATGAAGGAGGAGGGTCACATACGGGTCACATGCAGTATTGGAGGTTGCATTTACCACATCAAATGAAAAGATGAGTATGTTTGAGTTTATCAGAATACATTTAATATACAATAGTTCAGCATGTTATCTTAGCTTTATAAAGCAAACTAATGCTTTGTAAGGGAAGCTACCCACTGGGCACAGACGTCAATTGAACATCTATTCCACATTGGTTCAATGTAATTTCATTGAAATGACGTGAAAATAACGTTGATTCAACCAGCGTGTGTGCTCAGTGGGTAGATGTTGAGATACAGTGGCTTGCGAAAGTATTCACCCCCCTTGGCATTTTTCTTATTTTGTTGCCTTACAACCTGGCAGTGCCTGCTGATGAAAAACATCCCCACAGCATGATGCTGCCGCCACCATGCTTCACTGTGGGGATGGTGTTCTCGGGGTGATGAGAAGTGTTGGGTTTGCTCCAGACATAGTGTTTTCCTTGATGGCCAAAAAGCTCAATTATAGTCTTATCTGACCAGAGTACCTTCTTCCATATGATTGGGGAGTCTCCCACATGCCTTTTGGCGAACACCAAATGTGTTTGCTTATTTTTTTCTTTAAGCAATGGCTTTTTTCTGGCCACTCTTCTGTAAAGCCCAGCTCTGTGGAGTGTATGGCTTAAAGTGGTCCTATGGACAGATACTCCAATCTCCGCTGTGGAGCTTTGCAGCTCCTTCAGGGTTATCCTTGGTCTCTTTGTTGCCTCTCTGATTAATGCCCTCCTTGCCTGGTCTGTGAGTTTTGGTGGGCGGCCCTTTCTTGGCAGGTTTGTTGTGGTGCCATATTCTTAAACATTTTAATAAAGGATTTAATGGTGCTCCGTGGGATGTTCAACGTTTTGGATCTTTTTTTATAACCCAACCCTGATCTGTACTTCTCCACAACTTTGTCCCTGACCTGTTTGGAGAGCTCCTTGGTCTTCATGGTGCCGCTTGCTTGGTGGTGCCCCTTGCTTAGTGGTGTTGCAGACTCTGGGGCCTTTCAGAACAGGTGTATATATACTGAGATCATGTGACACTTAGATTGCACACAGGTGGACTTTAATAACTAATTATGTGACTTCTGAAGGTAATTGGTTGCACCAGATCTTATTTAGGGGCTTCATAGCAAAGGGGGTGAATACATATGCACGCACCCCTTTTCCGTTATTTATTTTTTAGAATCTTTTGAAACAAGTAATTTTTTTCATTTCACTTCACCAATTTGGACTATTTTGTGTATCTATTACATGAAATCCAAATAAAAATCAATGTAAATTACAGGTTGTATTGCAACAAAATAGGAAAAACGCCAAGGAGGATGAATACTTTTGCAAGGTACTGTACATGCATATTCTTCCCCAACTCAAATGAATTGTATAACACAACTAACTAGACAAAAACGTTGTGAATACAACAATTTTGATTCATATTGACCTTTTAATTTGTCTTTTTATATATATTTTGTTGATCAATAAGGTCCTACATATATTTGTATTAATATGTTAATTGAACTATTAAATATTATGGATAGGTAGTAACAAGTGACTCAGGGTATTTCACTTTGTTATGCGTATACAAACGTTTATTTAATTTTCTCACCTTGAAGCTCCTACTGATATTTATCTGATTAATCTGCAGAAAATGAAATCAGATTGTTTTCCTGTAGAAACATGTACAGGTTGCTAGTCATTTAATGAAGATGTAAGTATTGTAACAGACTGCAGAAAACGTCGAACAATAATGGAGACGAAAAATTGAGAATCTCATCTGCCCCGCTAGAATTAAATTGAAATACATGTACTTAAACAAATCTTCTACAATAAAATTGGTATTTGAACAAACCAATGAACTAACTACCCTATTAATGACCAGATCCACATGTCTATTTCAGCCTGTTAATGTTTGAAGGGAAGAAGTTCCTCTTGGGGTAATAAAACAACTGAAGATGAGAAGACTGATTTTGAGCGATTTTCGTACACATTTATACGATTTTGGTATATTCTTTTGATTGTTCAGTTGTTAGATTGTATCTTTTTTTATCGCTATTTCAGATCATTCATTTGTTAATATTCAAAAGAAAGAACATCCTCTGAATACAATTATTTCCTTATTATATTTCCTCGACACTCCCTCCCAAAGTTGCCTCGACCAATTAGAAAACAATGTCTGACTTCTCTATAGTGGGTGACTGACTATAGGTGTTCTTTGGCATGCTCCTTCCATCTAGAGCTGATGGAATGTTCAGCATGTATAAATGCAGTTCTAAGAGGAAGCAGTAGACTAGAAGGACCTGGCAGAGACCGAGAGATAAGAAGCTTTCACATCTTTTCACACAGATCTCAAGATATCACTGTGGGTATCTACACAACTAACTAAATAGAAAACTTTCACTTGTATTTAATGCATGATACTGGTGTGGGAAATATTATGACGTTAATACTCATCATCTCTTGGTACATGGGCACAAACACTTTGGCCCTATTGCCTAAAAATGTAAATTAATTTATCTGACAATTTTTTATTTGACAGTAGCTTAGCACTGCAAGAGTGATTGTAGTAAACAAGAGTTCAACTTTTGAAAGCTGTTTTGTAACATTTCACATTCAAGAATGATTTGTTGTTAAGTCACATTTCACAATTCAAAAGGTTATTTTTTTCCCCTTCTAGGAAACATTGGTTGACCTGACAGGTAAAATGCCTTAGTTGTTTTTGTGAACTACTATGAAAAACATTATTAACAAAATTATTTCAAGTTTTACCATTTAAAGTGAAATGGAGTGAGAGTGAAATTGACTGAAATGAAAGGTCTTAAGTATTGATGCCTCCCTTTTGCAGAATGTTCTCAATCCTGTTTGTCACAGTCTTCTTGGCCAGCTGCTTGGCAATGCGTGAGTAATACAAATACAATTCTGAATTATAATTATTCAATAATAGCTTTTGTGCTTTCACCATCTTGTCTTTTTCAGTTAGACTTAGGAGTTCTTCTTTGAGACAAAAGCTGATGTATGAAAGCATTGCAGAATATACTTTTGTTAATTAATCTGCACTTTATTCATAATATAAAGATATTTCAGAAATGTGTTGGTAAAATTAGAATGATGTATATATAAATATGTATTATTAATATAGTAAATATAGAAAACATATTGCCCATGTTATTTCAGCCATCAAAGACCTGTACTCGTATTCCTCTGCGGTGGGTCAGGGAGGTGGCACCCCATTTGCTTCCTCCGGTGAGGGACGCATCACAGCGGTCAGAGTGTGGGAGAACAACAACGCCTACATCAACGGGTGAGCAGACCCTGACCCATGAACAGACACCACTGACTCAGTCCAACTACACTACCCGACAGACACCACCGAATCAGTCCAACTACACTACCCAACAGACACACTCTTTCTTTCTTTCTTTCTTTCTTTCTTTCTTTCTTTCTATCTATCTCTCTTTCTTTCTTTCTGTATTTATTTCTTTATTGTGTTTATTACATATTCACCGGGGGCCAGTATGAAAAATAAATAAATAAGAGCGTCTGCTAAATGACTAACATGTAATGTAATAGTGTTATCGTATCTAACCCAGAGTACAATGGAAAATGTCAGTCCTTGATATTCTCTGACGCTACCTGCTCTCTCGGTCTGAATGTGCCTTATCAAAACACAACCAACATGAAAAGCTTCCTCTGTTTTAGGTTCCAGCTGAGATACAGCAACACCTGGTCTCCTGTGTTCGGTCGCGAAGTGGGTGAAAAGCAGGAGATGGAGCTGTTTAAGGATGAGGCCATCGTCGAGGTGTCTGGGAAGTACAACCCAGGAGACTACATCTACACCTTGGTGTTCACCACCAACATGGGGCGCACTCTGTCGGCCGGCCAGCCTAACCAAGTCTCCTTCAACTTCTACCCAGCCAACATGGGCAATGAGCTGAGGATGCTCAGCGGTCGCTTCAACGGTGCCGGGATCACTTCCATCGGAGCCCACTGGGGATTGGTGTACATGGAAGAGGCTGGAAACAGTACCTCCTCTTAATAGAAAAAATAAATAAGTATGGCTTGCTCTTTGGGATGGTTTCCCGGATACAGATTAAGCCGTCCTGGACTAGTTACTTTCAATGGAGATTCTCCATTCAGCATGCTTTTTAGTCCAGGGGTAAACTTAATCTGGGTCCAGGAAACTGACCCTATATGTTTTGGACGGATGTTTGACGTAGACGCTGACATGACTGTTTTAATATCACTATCTGATGGGTGCTTAATGCGATTTTAAACTGAATGAATTTGAATATTTATAATTTTTTTGGGAGTAATTTTGTACTGCTTCAAGTGAGGTGATCCCGTTTGAGTGAGTGGGTCACGGACCACATGCGTTGTTACTCATCATTTGAGGTTGTATTTATCACAATAAATGAAATAATCATATGGGATTTAAAGGATTAATTATATCTTTGATTAATTGAACAATAAAATATTATGGGGAGATAATTGCATATCATGGTACTTCACCTTCACTATTTTATACACACTGTATTTTTTTTGTGTGTTCCTTTTCTGCTACATCTGCATACTGAGATTTAATAAAAAGCATATCTTTAATCATTATATTTCATTGTATTTCTTTTGATAAGAAAATACATACAGTAGTGACCAGAAGCTACAATATACTAATCTGTCATCTTAACAAACTCAAACTTAACAAACTCAATAAGAACCTAAATGTATAACTGCAAGACCGTTAAAACGCCTATCCAATAGTGATGAAGGGGGGAAGAAATCTATTGTTACATATCGGGATATTATTTTCAATGATATCGTATCACATTGACAATATCACACTACTATTATTGCACTAGTTGGCTGTCCCTGCTCCAAAACTCAATTTTTCCTTCATAGACTGTTCTCCATTTTCATTTTAAATAGGAAGCACATTTGTTTTCAGCAGTTTTATTTCCATTACTTTTCTCATGCTCTCTCGTCTCTCTGCCACATACATATAGTGAGCAATATGGTTGGAACATCGAATCACAATAAAATCACAGTATAGAATCGCAATACATGTAGAATCGTGAGAATCGTATTACATATCGTATCAGCACCTAAGTATTGTGATCACCAATTTGTAAGTCGCTCTGGATAAGAGCGTCTGCTAAATGACTTAAATGTAAATGTATAATATCGTATCGTGAGGTCCCTGGCAATTCCAAGCGCTACTATCCAACACACCCATAATGTCTGGAATGTATATCTGCCACACCCATTCATAACATCAAACATTTTGTCTATGAAGTCTGCTCTCCTTCTAGCGTGGCAATGCATTTATTTATATATACAGTTGTTGAACCATGAACAGCGCTACACTATACCTTAATCATTGAGCCTAAAGTGTTTGCTTGACTACTGCATATTTAAGACTCACTAAATAATCTGCAACAATGTATCCCCCTGTATTGGACCCTCAAGGCATCACAAAGCAAAACCTGGGCAGCATTTCAAATGATGTACAGTAAGTGTTTTTGACAAGTTTTCATTCTATCTACACTGAAAGTGTTTGTCCCATGTTTCATGAGCTGAAAAAAAGATCCCAGAAATGTCCCATACACACAAAAAGCGTATTTCTTTAATATGTTGTGTACAAATTTGTTCACATCCCTGTTAGTGAGCATTTCTCCTTGCCAAGCTAATCCATCCACCTGACAGGTGTGGCATATCAAGAAGCTGATTAAGCAGCATGATCATTACACAGGTGCACCTTGTGCTGGGGACAATAAAAGGCTACACTTAAATGTGCAATTTTGTCACACAACACAATGCCACAGATGTCTCAGGTTTTGAGGGAGCTTGCAATTGGCATGCTGACTGCAGGAATGTCCACCAGTGATGTTGCCAGAGAAGTTAATGTTAATTTCTCTACCATAAGCTGCCTCCGAAGTCATTTTAGGGAATTTGACAGTATGTCCAACAGGCCTCATAACCGCAGACCACATGTAACCACGCCAGCCCAGGACCTCCACATCCGGCTTCTTCACCTGCGGGATCGTCTGAGACCAGCCACCAGGACAGCTGATGAAACTGTGCGTTTGCACAACCAAATCATTTCTGCACAAACTGTCAGAAACCATCTCAGGTGAACCTCATTTGCATGCTCGTCGTCCTCACAAGGGTCTTGACCTGATTGTAGTGCGGCGTCGTAACTGACTTTAGCGGGCAAATGCACACCTTCGATGGCTCTGGCACGCTGGAGAAGTGTGCTCTTCACGGATGAATCTCAGTTTCAACTGTACTGGGCAGATGGCAGACAGCCTGTATGGCGTCGTGTCGGCGAGCGGTTTGTTGATGTCAACGTTGTGAACAGAGTGGCTGCATACTCACCAGACATGTCACCCATTGAGCATGTTTGGGATGATCAGGGCCGACGTGTACGACAGCGTGTTCCAGTTCCCGCCAATATCCAGCAACTTTGCACAGCCATTGAAGAGGAGTGGGACAACATTCCACAGGCCACAATCAACTCTATGCGAAGGAGATGTGACGCACTGCATGAGGCAAATGGTGGTCACACCAGATACTGACTGGTTTTCTGATCCACACCCGTACCTTTCTTTTGCATATCTGCATGTCTGTATTCCCAGTCATGTGAAATCCATAGATTAGGCCCTAATGAATTTATTTCAATTGACTGATTTACTTATATGAACTGTAACTCAGTAAAATCTTTGAAATTATTGCATGTTGCATTTATATTTTTGTTCAGTGTCGCTGACTCCTATTAGTAAAATATATTATTCGTATATGATTCTTTTTTTGAGTAGAGTAGGCTTAAATGGACCAAATAGATATCACTGGGATGGTACACAGTATGCATCATACCTCTCTTATCTGACTTGTAGGCATATATTTGCATTTCAATATTGTATATTTTAATATCGCTTTAATCATAAATACTCAGTCATATTTGTGGTATATTTTCACAGTTGGCGTGATTTAAATGTATGTCTGGGTGGTCTGAGGTGGTTTTCTTACCGTGGATGCTACCCAGCAGTTGTAGTTATGGCGCCCTTTAACAGCATGGCTGATTGAGGCTGCATCCACTGCTGCTGCCACCACATACATCACTGTAGCACTACTGTTGAAGAACAGGCCCTGTAGAACACCACATACATCACTGTAGCACTACTGTTGAAGAACAGGCCCTGTGGAACACCACATACATCACTGTAGCACTACTGTTGAAGTACAGGCCCTGTGGAACACCACACACATCACTGTAGCACTACTGTTGAAGAACAGGCCCTGTAGAACACCACATACATCACTGTAGCACTACTGTTGAAGAACAAGCCCTATAGAACACCACATACATCACTGTAGCACTACTGTTGAAGAACAGGCCCTGTAGAACACCACATACATCACTGTAGCACTACTGTTGAAGAACAGGCCCTGTAGAACACCACATACATCACTATAGCACTACTGTTGAAGAACAGGCCCTGTAGAACACCACATACATCACTGTAGCACTACTGTTGAAGAACAGACCCTGTGGAACACCACATACATCACTGTAGCACTACTGTTGAAGAACAGGCCCTGTGGAACACCACATACATCACTGTAGCACTACTGTTGAAGAACAGGCCCTGTGGAACACCACATACATCACTGTAGCACTACTGTTGAAGAACAGGTCCTGTGGAACACCACATACATCACTGTAGCACTACTGTTGAAGAACAGGCCCTGTAGAACACCACATTCATCACTGTAGCACTACTGTTGAAGTACAGGCCCCGTAGAACACCACATACATCACTGTAGCACTACTGTTGAAGAACAGGCCCCGTAGAACACCACATACATCACTGTAGCACTACTGTTGAAGAACAGGCCCCGTAGAACACCGCATACATCACTGTAGCACTATTGTTGAAGAACAGGTCCTGTAGAACACCACATACATCACTGTAGCACTACTGTTGAAAAACAGGCCCTGTAGAACACCACATACATCACTGTAGCACTACTGTTGAAGAACAGGTCCTGCAGAACACCACATACATCACTGTAGCACTACTGTTGAAGAACAGGCCCTATAGAACACCACATACATCACTGTAGCACTACTGTTGAAGAACAGGCCCTGCAGAACACCACATACATCACTGTAGCACTACTGTTGAAGAACAGGCCCTGTAGAACACCACATACATCACTGTAGCACTACTGTTATACACATTATAGAATGGCTTCATTTGATCACATTCATAAAGACATGGTCAGGAGCACACAAAAATCCTCTCTTTCCCAAAACCATCCAGGCAGTTCACTCCATTGCTTTTGAGTTACATAAATAGTCCACAATTATTCACTAGATATATAATAAACAACCCCAATCACTCAAGTTTCAAGTTGGTCAGATAATGTGCTGTTGTATTATGTGTCGTAGTATGTGTCGTACCACAGTTGTCCAGGGGACCTGAGGGATCCTGTTGTAAGCCATGGTCAGGTAGATAATGAGGAAGATGACTGTCAGGACCCAGTACAAGATGGCCACAAACATGACCCACCCAAAGGCAGACACACGGAAGTAGTTTGTCCCCGCTATCAGCATCCATACCAGCAGACCAAACACCTGAGGGGACAGGGAAGCACATAGCCAGCATTCCAAATGGCACCCTATTCCCTTTATAGTGCACTACTTTTGAACAGGGCTCATATAGCTCTGGTAAAAAGTAGTGCACTATATAGGGAATAGGGTGCCATTTGGGACGTACCCATAGTCAGTGATGGCTGTGCTCTGGTGGTGTCTACTTTATCGTGTATTTAAATGCATTTGCTGTGCTTATCTTGATGGCATACTGTAGAAAGAGATTACAATGAAAGGAAATAATATAGCCTAAGGCAAATCAAATAACAGTTTATTGGCATATGCACAGGATCCAGTGAAGGGTAGAGTGCTCTGTTTACCTGCAAGCTCTCATCTAAAACAGTACAACAGCTATATAAAACATAATTGCCAAGTGGGTTTTCATAGTTTGTATTTCTGGAACAGAAACTAACCCCACAGCTGACTGACACCTATCTGATCTGACAGCATTCTGAAAGAATGTTGTAACACATTGATTATGATAAATCTATAGATGCAGTTTGTTATAATGCGTGCTACTGTAAATAATGGGAAGTTTTGTCCTCTGTTGCACTCCAAACCTCCCTTCCTGTTATTAAAAGAAAATAATGTTTCATTGGTTGCTTCTTATCACAGGAAAAAAGACTGTCTAGCCTAAGTGGAAGAGGAGACTTTTGGTCACATTCTCCCCTGATGCTGGAAGGAAAAGGGACAATGAAACTGACCTTGTTTTTAAACAACTTCCCTTTCCAGAGAAAATAATACACTGTACTGAGACCCATTTGTCACGGTTTCGGCCGAGGCTGCTCCTCTTCCTTGTTCGGGCAGGCTTCGGCGGTCGTCGTCTCCGGAGTACTAGCTGCCACCGTTCTATGTTTCATGTTCTGTTGGTTTTGTCTGTTTCATAACACCTGTCCCTTATTTGTGTCTTAATTGTTTCCCTTATTTAGTTCGTGTGTTTGGGTCAGGTGTTATGCGTGATTGTTTTGTGTCAGACTGCCTCGTTAGGGTATTTTCTCTCGTTGTTGGCTTGTCCCGAGAGTTCGCACTGCGTGCGCTTTTCTGGTGTTTTACGCATTGTGTTTTGTGCGTAATTGTTTTGCGCCACCCGGTTGGGTTGGCGACTATTTTGTTCACGTGTTGAACGTACTATAAAGTCTATTGAAGTCATCCTGGATCCTGCGCTTGATTCCTTCCACTCATCTACACACACCACTCTGACACCATTGTCTGTCTACACAGAAAGTAGCCTATGTTACAGAAAGTAGTCTAAATTACAGAAAGTAGTCTTATTACAGAAAGTCACCTATATTACTAGCATATATTAGAAGAAGTACTGTAGCTTATTTTACAGGAAGTAGCCTATATTACAGGAAGCAACCTATATTACAGGAAGTAGCCTATTTTACAGGAAGCAGCCTATATTACAAGAAGTAGCCTATATTACAGGAAGTAGTCCATATTACAGAAAGTAGCCTATATTACAGGAAGTAGCCTATTTTACAGGAAGAAGCCTATATTACAGAAATAGTCTATATTACAGGAAGTAGCCTATATTACAGGAAGTAGGTTGACATTATGTTCATTTTCTCCAGTTATATTTCCTTGAACATTTTGAAATAATTGAACCTTCAGTTCAGTGCAGTGTTCAATACGATATCACGTCACCGTCTGTGAAAAACCGTCATACAGGCCAAGCAGCCTATGCAAAATGTGTATAAAATGCACATAAAATATACAGGTTGAACAGTATGCAAATCTGTATAAAAGTACTGGAAATCAGCAAATGGCAAACTCTTCCCTTTATCAGAACTAATTGTGCCCCTATGATAAGGGTACAGCCATGTGATACAAGGTATGAACAATACAAAATGTCTGATCATCATAATGTGTTTAATTTGTTTAATCAACAAAGCAGTATTGATTCCCTCCATGAATTCTGATGGCAGCTATTGTGAGAAAGATGGTAAAAGCCACTGCCATTGTGATTTCAATAAATTATTATATGTCACGATCGTTTAAAGATTGGTCGAACCAAGGCGCAGCGTGATAAGCGTACATGTTTATTATAACTGTGCAAACACGACAAAACAACAAACAAACGATACGTGAAGTCTTAAGGTTACACACAACAAACCTATACGGAACAAGATCCCACAACTAACCGGTGCCAAAAGGCTGCCTAAGTATGGACCCCAATCAGAGACAACGAGCTACAGCTGCCTCTGATTGGGAACCACCCCGGCCAACATAGATCTGCACATGCTAGATCTAAAACATAGAAATCAACATAGCAACACACAACACGGAAAATACACACCCTGACTCAACAAATACAAGTCCTCAGAGTCAGGGTGTGACAGTACCCCCCCCCCCCAAAGGTGCGGACTCCGACCGCGCCACATAAACATAACAGGGTAGGGGCCGGGTGGGCATTCCGCCTCGGAGGCGGATCCGGCTCCGTGTGTGACCACCACTTACTCTCCACCTCCCCGTTGCGCCCCTGGTCTGGTCTGGACCTCGGCGCGCTGCTTCCCCTCTCCTTCCTCCCACGAAGTACCAAGCCCTGTCTGGACCCTGGTGTGGGAGACCCCGAACCTGGAGAGGGGCTGACGTCTGGGTCTGGACTGGAAACGCTGACTGGAGCTGGACCCAACGACGGTGGATCGAACTGCTCTGGCTCCGGGGTGGAGCCGCTGACCGGAGCTGGATCAGGCACCGGTGGAGCGGACTGCTCTGGCTCCGGAGTGGAGCCGCTGACCGGAGCTGGACTGGACCCCGGTGGAGCGGATTGCTCTGGCTCCGGTGTAGCAGCTGACCGGTGCCGGACCATGCACGGGCCGTGCCGGACTGGACACATGCACCACTGGCTTGGTGCGGGGAGCAGGAACGGGCCGGACCTGACTGATGACGTGCACCCCTGGCTTGGTGCGGGGAGCAGGAACCAAAGTCAGCAAAACAAAGGAGTTGATTTTTTACTTCAGGAAGCAGAGGTGGGAACATGCCCCGATCCACATCAACCGGACTGCAGTATAGAGAGTCACTAGTTTTAAGTTCCTCAGCATCCACATCACAGAGGACGTGTCATGAACCAACAACACCACCACTCTTGTCAAGAGGGCACAACAGCATGCCGCCCCGGGTCCTCTCCAAATACTAGCCCTGCACCATCAAGAACGTCCTGACAGGTTGCATCACGGCCTGTCTACGAACACAAGGCCCTCCAGCAGGTGGTGAAGACAGCCCAGTCAATCACTGGGACCGTGCTCCCACCCATCCAGTACATCTACTCGAAAAGGTGGCCGAGGAAGGCATGGAGCAGTATGCAGGACCCCACACACCCCAGCCACAAGCTGTCCCGTATACGGTACAGTTGAGCTAACGTGCGCTAATGTGATTAGCATGACTGTTGTAAGTAACAGCAAACTTTCCAGGACATAGACATGTCTTATATGGGCAGAAAGCTTACATTATTGTTAATCTCACTGCACTGTCCAATTTACAGTAGCTATTACAGTGAAAAAATACCATGCTATTGTTTGAGGAGAGTGCAAAACAACAAAAAACGTATCACGGCAACTGGTTTGATACATTCACCTCTGAAGGTAAATAATGTACTTACATTCCGTAATCTTGCTCTGATTTGTCATCCTGAGGGTCCCAGAGATAACATGTAGCATAGTTTTGTTTGATAAAATCAATTTGTATATTCAAATGTAGGAACAGGGTTCTACAGTTTGAACCCCTGCTGTCTCTGGCTCCACACTCAACCCGCCCGGCCATCTAGATGTAACAGTGTTGCTTCCGTCCCTCTCTTCGCCCCTACCTGGGCTTGAACCAGGGACCCTCTGCACACATCGACAACAGTCACCCTCGAAGCACCGTTACCCGTCGCTCCACAAAAGCCGCGGCCCTTGCAGAGCAAGGGAAACAACTACTTCAATGTCTCAGAGCGAGTGACGTCACCGATTGAAATGCTACTAGCACGCACCGCTAACTAGCTAGCCATTTCACACCGGTTACACTCAACCCCCTTTTGACCTCCTACTTTTCCGCAGCAACCAGTGATCCGGGTCAACAGCATCAATGTAACAGTGTTGCTTCCGTCCCTCTCCTCGCCCCTACCTGGGCTTGAACCAGGGACCCTCTGCACACATCGACAACAGTCACCCTCGAAGCACCGTTACCCGTCGCTCAACAAAAGCCGCGGCCCTTGCAGAGCAAGGGAAACAACTACTTCAATGTCTCAGAGCGAGTGACGTCACCGATTGAAATGCTACTAGAGCGCACCGCTAACTAGCTAGCCATTTCACACCGGTTACATAGATGTGTGAAAGTTAGTGTATAACCTAATGATCCATCATGTATGACATTCCTGGGAGTGTGAAAAACTTACATTTTGTATTACCATATCATTTTTGTATGTTCTCTATAGTTATGTACTTGAAAATGTGTCAATTGACCAATTCGGCACATTTGGGAAGACTTCATACAAAATAGTCCAGTATTGCAATGCTTCACTGGAGCAATCTGAAACTTTGCACACACACACTGCTGCCATCAAGTGGCCAAAATCTAAATCTCGCCTAAACTGCAATATTATATTGTGGCCTTTCTCTTGCATTTCAAAGATGATGAAAAAATAAATAAATAGAAAACGCATGTTTTCTTGTTTTTATTATATTTTACCAGATCGAATGTGTTATATTCTCCTACATTAATTTCACATTTCCACAAACTTCAAAATGTTTCCTTTCAAATGGTATCAAGAATATGCATATCCTTGCTTCAGGTCCTGAACTACTGGCAGTTAGATTTGGGCCATCAGACTGCTGAACACTTGAACTGGACTGACCACCTGCTCTGATTCTCCTCACCTTAGCACACACGCACTCTCTCATGCACACACCAACACAGATACACACACACACACACACACACATTTACATTCATGCTACACACACATTACAAATGCTGCTACCAGACTGTTATTATTCTGCTCAGTTTATACACTGACCCCCATCCCCACCTTCTCCAATACACGTGTAAATATTGGACTATAAAATGTGCCTTCTTGAATTATACTTACGCTACTACAAAATGTTTATTCAGTTCTACTGAGCCATTTAATTTATGTTCGTATTCTTATATTTTTATTATGTCTTAATGTTATTGCATTGTCGAGAAGGAACATGCAAGTAAGAATATACCATGCGTATCCCGTAGCCTACAGCTTGAAACTTGAAACTTGACTACTTACTATTTCTGCGAAAACGAGGAGTCCCGAAGCAGTACGAAAAAAGTGCCTGTCGTAAACCAGAGTAGAGGTGTAAAAGTTTTCCGCGCTGCTGCTGGTAGACGTTATCACAGTGGGCGTCGCTGCGCCTTCCATCTTCAATATCGATCTACGCTTTTGGATCCTGCCCCTCTGTATTAAGGAAGGTTGGAAAGAGGGCCATGACGCGTCTTTC